GCGTAACCCATGAGGCTGGCGGAGGAGACCAGAGCCGATGTCAACGCAGTATTAAAGCGCATTGTAAACAACAGATAGAAGGAATGAAAGTGGAGCACACAGCACCAGAGTGAAGGAAAGAGGAGATGTGGTTTTATAGAAAGCGGACGCTGGGGGAAGGTCCAGGTGGCCTCTTCACTTAAGCTCCCCAATCGGGACTAGGGCGTGTACACACGGGTTTCGATCTTGTTCTACATAGCAACATCTACTTTGGGTGATTTATTTGACTGATTATTTAGTTAAATAATATTTATAACGCGTTTCGATTGGAGATTAGAGATTAAGGATTAGCAATATATTGTAATAAGTATTATAGCCGTCAAGTCTCGAGGGATATTAAATGTGCTGAATCCAGGTACGAAGTACAATAACCCCCAAATGCATTGTCCTCTGTAGATCTCCCCGGTTAATCTTTTGCCCCCCGCTCATACGTCCATTATTATTATTATTATTTATGGATTATACCCTTGCCATGGTAGCTTTCGGTGAGAGACCGTACGACTAATTTGTAAGTGACGCGCTCCAACAACTTACGCGTATAGCAAATACCCGCAGTTGATGATCCTTAATGATTGCAGATTGGGTGCCTTAGGTCCTTGCCTCAGGCAGAGACTCCTCGGTAGTTGGATGTCGGTCTCCTTTCCTGTTTTATTTTCCTTATTATTTGAGTAAATATGAAAGCTATCTCGATTGGAGGTTAGAGAACTAATATATTTTAACTTATAGAATTGTCAAGTAGGGATGTAGGGATGTTAAACGTGTTGAATATGTACTCCGTATGTTGTATGTATGAATAAATATTGTCCGCAGATCTCCCCAATTACTTTCTTCCCCCCGCTCAAACGTCCATTGGTTACTCGGCACTTTCGGTCCCAAAAACTTATCTCACCTCGACGACAAAATTGGTAACTTGAAATCCTACGCCCTCTCCCGACTTTGGGATTATCTCCCTTGGCCTACGCTAATCTGTCACAGCCCATCATGTGCCCCGCAGACCAAACCGTCGCAACGAACAACGACCACTTGGTCCAGTCTGAGGACCCCGAACACCCGGCCAACCTTATTCCCGAGCTCTGTCGCAAATTCTACAACTGGGGATGGGTTACCGGCACCGGAGGTGGTGTAAGCTTATACTTGCAAGGGAAAAAAAAAGTGCAACGGTACCCAGCTGATGGAAAACTAGACCTCGATCCGCCAAGGTGACCACATCTTTATCGCCCCGTCTGGAGTACAGAAGGAATTGATGAAGCCCGACAACATCTTTGTGCTCCAATGGCCCACCCCCAAGTACCCTGCCTCGGACCGCAGCTACATCCGCAAGCCTCTCAAGCTCAACCCCTCCGCCTGTACCCCACTATTCCTGACTGCCTTTGAGCAAGGTGCTGGCTGCTGTATCCACACCCACTCACAATGGGCCGTTCTAGTCACTCTGTTGGTGGAGCGGGAGAAGGGCCCTGATGCTTGCTTCGAGATCAGCAACATTGAGCAGATCAAGGGCATTCCTCGCGGTAAAGGAAAGGGCATGCTCGGATTCTTCGATACTTTGAAGATTCCCATTATTGAAAACACCGCCTTCGAAGAGGACCTCACTAGCGGTTTGGAGGCAGCCATGAACAAGTACCCGGACACATACGCGGTACTTGTCCGGAGGCACGGAATGTAAGTAATAGTCACCTCCATGTGATACTGATGTGTATACTAATTCTGGTTCCTGCAGTTACGTCTGGGGTGATAACACTGCCAAGGCGAAGACTCAGTGTGAGAGTCTGGATTACATCTTCCAGCTGGCTGTGGAAATGCACAAGCTGGGCCTCCCGTGGGTCAAATAGATACTGCACGGTTTCCAATGACCTGTTTTATGCCGATGGTGGTTTAAGCTGGGAAAATCGTGGATATATTACCCCGATATCGAGAAGCTCCAATTGAAATGATGTGACGTATTGCGACATGGGACATGTAGAACAAGCTGGCCAGGGGTTGTATAGAGGTTATCGGGTATTGAGTGGCATCGAGTGGATTGGATTCGTCATAAACATAAATAAATAGCCTCCATTTTATCGAAAGCAGTGCCAATGGCAAAGTAATTGAACAAGTCAAGGAAATACCACATGGGGTGGGATCCCGTGAGTGACTAAGGATGCGGATCGGCCTCCACTCCAACCAGCTCCCTCTCCAACTCCATACACCTTCGAAGCTCCGATTGAACCAACATTAATATTTATTTGATTTGTCTTCTCGCCATTATCCCATTCCTTTCGCTTCGATCTCATACCGGCAACAATGGATCTCGACTCTGGAGATTCCCCGTGGGGCGGTAGGCAGTCATGATACCACAGCTCGTTGAATCGCAGTCTGATTTATGATGTAGATGAGCCTTCACAGTTTAAGCCCAACGATGGCTCCTCCAAAACCGGCACTCAGGGAGCTGGTATGTTTTATTTGGCCTGTCCGCTCTTTCCACGACCACTCACTAAGCGCACTCTACCATACAGCAGCTGCACAACCCCCCGCGTCAGACAGCTCGCCCGCTGTCCGCGTACCAGGAAGAAGAGGCCCACGAGGAACACGCAAGATCAGCGCACAAGCCACTAAACTTGAATCGGTCGATGATTCCGTCGACCCTCTCGGTCCATTGGGAGAAGCGCCCGCCGAGGCCCCAACATCCACAGATGAGGCACCAGCACCGCCCCAGAAGGAGCCATTCGCCGGACGTGGCGCGCGACCACTCTCCTCTCCATCCCATGTATCTGGTGGAGTTGGGGCGGCGGACTCGGCTAATGTGGAAGAGGACAACGCGGTCTTCCGCGGACCCCCTCCTGTGCAACCGACGGCGCAAGCTGATGGACCGAAAAGACAGACGCAGCCCAGCATGAGCGTGGAGCAGGCTGCGAAGCCGACTTTCCAGATCTATGTCGGAGATCCGCACAAAGTGGGAGACCTAACAAGCAGTCACATTGTTTATCAAGTTTCGACGAAGGTAATTGGACTACACGGACGTGAAGCTTACAGGCTGGAAAAGAAGAAGCTGACAGTAATTGGTATGGGTAGACAACATCCAAGGCTTATCGTCAACCTGAATTCACCGTCAGCCGTCGATACCGTGATTTCCTCTGGCTCTACAACTCCCTGCACGGCAATAACCCCGGAGTGGTTGTTGCGCCTCCGCCCGAGAAGCAAGCAGTTGGCCGGTTCGATACTAACTTTGTAGAGTCGAGGAGAGCTGCTTTGGAACGAATGCTTAACAAAATTGCCAGCCATCCTATTCTTCAACATGATGGCGATCTGAAGATCTTCCTGGAAAGTGAAGCTTTCACCGTTGATGTTAAGAATAAGGAAAACCGAGAGCCCGATATTGGCCCAAGCAAGGGAATGCTGAGCTCCTTTGGTATTTCTGTTGGTGGAGGAAGCAAGTTTGTGGAACATGACGATGTAAGTGAATTGTTTCTGACTCTGATACATCCCGCCTGCTCACATATCGATAGTGGTTCCACGACCGAAAGGTCTATTTGGATGCATTGGAGAACCAGCTGAAGGCTCTATTGAAGTCAATGGACACGGTGGTTCTTCAACGAAAGGGACTGGCCGAGGCCGCAGGCGACTTTTCGAGCTCATTGCACGCCTTATCTGCTGTCGAGCTGTCTCCCGCCCTCTCCTATCCATTGGAAGGCTTGTCAGAACTTCAATTGCGCATTCGGGAACTTTATGACCGACAGGCGCAGCAGGATGTTCTGACGCTTGGAATCACGATCGATGAATATATCCGTTTAATTGGAAGTGTCAAGATGGCTTTCACGCAGCGACAAAAGGCCTTCCACACCTGGCATGCGGCAGAGTCCGACCTACAGAAGCGCAAGAATACCCAAGACAAGCTACTCCGCCAGGGCAAGACTCAGCAAGACCGCTTGAACCAAGCCAACGCCGACGTTGCAGATGCGGAGCGCAAAGTCCACCAAACGCGGCTGCTCTTTGAAGATATGGGCCGGCTTATGCGGAGCGAACTGCAACGGTTCGAGAAGGAGAAGGTGGAGGACTTCAAGTCTGGTGTGGAGACATTCCTTGAAAGCGCAGTTGAAGCTCAGAAAGAGGTAAGTTCTTTCCAACTCTTGCGGACTCATCTCATTCAGCTAACCCCAAATACAGTTGATTGAACTCTGGGAGACATTCCTCCTGCGCCTAGACGCTGGCGAGGAAGGGCTTCCATATTATGTACCACCCGAGACGGGCGATTCATCCGCTCCAGCAGAGCCCACAGGGTCAGGCCCGGAATCGGGGTCAGTGGCCACTGAGGATGGTGCTTGATATCCCTTCTATCCAGGGTGCTTTTTTACAACCCCCGAAACTAGCGCCGTTTTATCTCGTCTTGGTTTGTATTCATTATGGGAAAACCCTCCAGGGCTTTTGCGATGTTATTTTATGTTATGCTGCAACTGATGATGATCCTCAGCAAGCCGATGAGCTTTGTGTTTTTCTATTTCCGCTTCATTCCGAATACCACTGTTCGCGTACTGTAGCAAATAAATTCATTACCTGCCCTAGTTATACTGTCCCGTATCTATACATATTCTTTTGGCCTAGATCTATATCTAGCGTAGAATTCCCATCACGCAGTGGAATGTCTACGAGCTTGGTGCTTTGCGGGCTGGGTCGAATGTTATTGAGGTGAGGTGATGGATGTAGCGAAAGTTTAGGATATAAACATCAAATGTTATACATGGAAAGGTCGTTTTGCACATTTCAAGGAAGTATTGAGAAGATATCAAAGACTACCAGAAAGAGACAAATATGTAGCATGGATGAGAGAAAAGATGAATTCTTGGTATAATACAGCAGGCTCATACCAGACATATGTATATTGTACAAGATCAAAAACACAACAAAAAGAAACAAAAAGAAGAATCCCAACTCCCATCCAAGCGGCACAAACCAGAACAACCTGATTCAACCCAAGAATCCCAAACCCACTATTTCTTTCCAGTGAACTTAGGAGTCTTCTTCTCAGGCGGGGGCGGCGCCTCATTCTGTCCGAAAGCACTAATCAAATCAAGCAAGTTATCCTCCTCCTCCTGATCAGCCTTAGCCTGAGCCTGAGCCTGAGCATCCGCCTCCGCCTGCTTAGCAGCAACAGGGTCCTTAGCCGCCTCTGTTTCAACAACAGGCGCGCTGGCATCAAAGCTGCGACCGAATCTGGCACGGAAAGCAGCGAGACGACCGGCCTCATCCTCCTCGACGTTCATCAGCTTGCTGCTGGACGGGTTCCAGAGGAGGGAGTTGCGCGTGTCGCGCGTGGAGCGGTAGATCGGGGCCGGGGAGGTCGTGCGGTGCGTGAAGGTGCTGCCGTCAGAGAGGGTGATGAGCTGTGTGAAGGTGTAGGGGCGCTTGGGGCGACGGAGGAGAGTTGCGTGTCGGCATTGAGAGCAGACGAAGGTTGTGCCGCTCGATTGCGTGGGGAGTCTTGTAGGGAGGATGGTGGTTGTTGAGTTGGTGATTGTGGCCGCGGTGCGGCGGAGGGAGGTGTGCATTGACATGTTGGATGGGTTGGTTCGGCAATGCCGATGGAAATATAATGGGGATTAGCGAGGTGGGCGGAGTTTGACGGGGGCCGCAATGCTATCGGGGAGGTTGCGGAGGTTGTGAAGTTGATGCTATAGCAGAGAAATTATCGCGGGTTATGTAAGCGGATCTGTTCTTTTCTGGATTTTTGTAACTTCGATGTTCGGATGACTTCATACTGCCCCATGTCTCTGTGAGTCTGTCTTTTTTATTTGCTGGTTTAGACATGAATTGGCAGAGCCTGGATATCTATGAATTTGTTCCCTGCGTGATCCCCTGAGCACCTTTCAAAGCTCCGTCAATTCCAGGCCGGCGGGATGAAGCTCGCCTTTCCAGTCGCGCATGGGACTGCTCGGACAGCACTCGGAGGTAGGTTATCATGATGTATTTCCAAGTGCTTGTGTCAATTGTACTAATGGGATCCGTTAGAACTATTATGCATTAAGAACTATACACCCTTGTTCCTGGGAACTTCTCTTTCCCTCGGGACATCTCCAGCTGTACCATATACCCATTACCGATCGCGATGCGTTCAACGACGATATACCAGCAATTCCACAGCCACTTTAAAAAAAGATGACTGCACGGCGAAGGTCAATGCCCCATCCCATGCAGGCAACGCCCCACAACCACCAACACCCTCAACATCTATATCCGACCAAGTCCGCCTCCTCATGCGCCGAGTCCCCTACCCCGTCGCAATCATAACAGCAACCGATCCATCCGGCCCAGAAAACACAACCTCCTTCCGTGGCATGACCGTCTCCTCTTTCAGCACCGTCACCCTCACTCCACACCCTGTGATCTCGTTCAACGTGCGCCGCCCATCGGAGACATTGAATGCGTTGCTTGCTTCGCGCCGGTTTCTGGTTCATTTGCTTGCACCGAGCCCGGAGACTGCTACTCTAGCCAGGGATTTCTCTAAAGGGAATGTCACCCTCGCTGCTATGTTGAGGGGACACGGACAGTTTGAGTTCGCGGCTTTACCTACTGAGAACGAGGACGGATCTCCTCAAAGACCACTTCCTATTCTTAAGCGGAGGGCGGAAGCAGCATCTGCGAATGATGGTGTCGACTTTCCTTTCGTTTTTGAATGTACCCTACATCCAGAGAAGATTGATGTGCATGATCACTCGATTGTGCTGGGCACTGTTGTTCGGACGATCGAAGGCTCTAGGTCTATTGAGGCGAAGGGACTGGATGGCAAGGTCTTGGATGAACATTCGCCTGAGCGGCTTTGTTTAGCATATGCAAATACCAAGTTTTGGAAGATGGGGGGTGAATTTTGAGCTGGCATGCTTGGTTCCATCTAAGCCATGGATGAAGAATGCTTCATCGCTTATGCCTTCCGGCAAAGCACTGTATATATACTTGGGAATACGGCGTTTGGGCTGTACATAGACTTTTGATTAGACACATGGTATCACAGACAATTTCCATGACCTATCCACTATATGATCCTACAGTAGACATGGAGAGATGAAGATGAGAAATGCTTTCATGATATTGATGAGTCTACGCTTTTTGTGTGTGTGTGTGTGAGAGAGAGAGTATACAAGAACCGAGTATAGAACACTTTGTTTTCGGTGTTAGGAACAGAGCTGCCAAGTATCTCACTTCGATCGAATCCATATAGTTGCTATCTCATCGCGAGATGCATGCCATACTACCGCAATGACTCAAGAAACCAGGAGCCACCACAGTGCAGGCCGACAAGAAAGAGATTGACTAGCACAGGGCGGAAATCCAACCAGACGGAACCAAAAGCACAGACACACAAAACCCGAGGCCACTTCTCGGAAGACAAGTATGCAAGTGAGATAGAGCACCGGTTTGACAGTGCAGCTAGGTATTGAGACCACGGAAGCAACCGCCGAGAGAACTAGTCCCGCGACGAGTGCGGACTGCCGGTCCCACTGCCACTGCCACCACTACCACTACCAGTGCCACTCCCTCGACTTACTGCTCGCTGGAAAGGGCTCAAAACCGGACGCACACCTTGATTCAGGAAACCATTTCCATCGGACCCAGGGCGAGGCTTGGTCTCACCAAGTAACTCGGACAGGTCAAGCTGGAGAGCCGGCAAGCGGTTCGCGTCCAAGAAGTCAGAGCCGTATTGGCTGCTGCGAGTTGAGCGGTTGGAGAACGAACGATCTCGGTGATTGATGGTAGCGTCTGGCCCAAAGTATGAGCCCGTGTTCCCAATAGGAGAGGTTGGAAACTGTGGGAGGAAGGGAAGGTCTTGCGATGGACTAGTTGGATTTGACGGCATTTCGTAGACTGGCGAAGACGAAATCTGCAGGGGACTAGATCTCGCAGGAAAGCTGAGACCCCCTAAAAGAGATCGAACGCTAGGCGCAGAGGTCGTAGATGCGTTGAATGACGGACCACTAGTGTCGGGCATAGGATTGGTTCCTGGCAAGTTGCCCTCGGGGGTGAGAGGACCAGACTCGAGGAGCATCTGCTGCTGTTGTTGCTGAATGGACTGCTCAATTGCAGTTGCCTGCTGCCAGAGTTGACTCGTGCGCAGTTGGAAATCCTGCACAGATTGGCTGATGCTCGCAAATTGCTCGTGGAAATTAGTCTCCATCTTTGACTGGTCTTGCTCTCTGGCAAATTGTTCGGCAGCACGGCGTTCTCTCTCATTCAACCCTTGGGCATTGGCCGAGATGATACGCTCATACTGCTCGTTCACCCGAGTGCGGCGACCTTGGAGACGCTCACGCTTCTGGACAGCCTGAGTCAATTCCAATTCCAGTGCCGCCACCTGCTGAGCGGCAGCTGCCCGAGCAGCAGTAACCTCTTCTTTCGTCAGATTGAAAGCTTCCACTTCACGTTCGAAATCCGCTTTGTGCGCCGACCATTCTTCCATCTCCTCCTCGGGAACATTTTCCATGGTGTCAAGTTGTACCTCTAGCGCCGCAGTAGCCTCTTCAGTTTGCCGGATGTTTCGTTCTAGTTGAAGCGAACGCTGCTTTTGGCGATTCTCATCATTTCCGCTGTGGAGGCGAGCATTGAAGTTCTCGAGTTCTTTCCGGATTTTTGAGATAACAGTTTTGTGATCGTTCTTCGTCTTTTTCAGACGGTTGCGCTTTTCGTTCAACTTGGATTCCGCATTGCTGATAGAGTTTTTGAGCGTCGTTGTGGGGGATGATGGACGGTAGGTCGGCTGTGGGGGTGTCGATACCGTGGAAATGACTATTCAAGCAATGAGATGATTGAAAAAAGAAATGCCGAGATTTAACGTGAACTTACCTTGCTCTGTGTCAGTCGTTGTAGGGGTCTTGACACTCATGACACAGATTTCCTCGTCAGTATCGCTTCGTACAAATGCGCATGTGTAGGCGCAGTTGGGAGCAAGTCCAGCGATCTCGCCCCGCCATTGGACAACACTCGGGCCCTTGGCGTCTGAAACCCTGCATATCGAAGCGGTAGCCCAGAGCGCCCCATTGACGCAGACGTAGAACGGTTCCATGTCTCCTCCCAAACGGCCGGCTTCAAAGGAACCCGACACGGCGGGGTCATCGGTAAATTCACCCGCGGCGAATTTAATCGAAGAGCTATCCACATCCGTGATCCATATTAACCCGTCGTCGAGGGAAACACCTTGCAGATCCTCCTCCGTCATTGTGAGATTGCGGGCTGTCTTGGAGACAGCCCGCGAATGTTCATATTCCCTCATCACCGTGACCTTTGTACTGGCAAGCGCAGCCCAGAACGGCTGTCGGCTCCGAACTTGATTGGCTTGTCGTCTGCGTTTCTTGGCTGAGGTAAAACGATCCTTTCCGTCTTTCAACTGACCGTCAGGTCCCACGAAAGAAGAAGAAACACTGGCAGCTGATTCTAGGGCAGAATCGGCTTGTCCTTGTGACCCCGCAGAAGCCTCCGTATCCCCCCGCTTGCCGGTTCGTAATGGTGTTGGTGACCGATTCTTGGCCATCGAACGTCGTGCCATGGCGGTTCCAGCTTGTGCTAGGATGTGTACCGCAAGAAGGCTGCGGAGCCAGCTGGGAGACGTCTGTTCTTCGGAGCGTCGGAACTCGGCGGGTAGCAGATGCGAATACTGGGAGAGGAGATCGGGACTGAGCAGTTTAGCAGAGACAAGATGACCCAAGACAAAATCCTGGATGCCTTTACTGCGAACAAGATGAAGAAGCAGAACAATTCCGACACAGAGAGCATTGACCCCGCCGTTCTTTCCGGAACCCCCACCACCTAGGGTGATAGCAACCTGGACATGAGCGAGATCGATGGCAAAGTTTTGCGCCCAGGTCCACATGAAGAGGCCCCAGAGAAGTATGCAAAACCCATCCATCGCAATCATTGTCCCCAGAGATGGCGTCCCAGCCGGACCTTGAAAAATATCGAAGTTCGACGACAAAGAACCGGCCGCGGCGCCGCTCGGGGGCATGAAAGTCAAAGAGGCGAACAAGAACTGAACCAGAGTCAAGACCATCGGTGGAAGCTGGAGCAAGAAAATCAAGATGGCGATGGTGTCGTACATGGGGCACGATTTGAGGATAGTGGATGCGAGTTGGAGCGGATTAATCGAGGCATTGGATCCAGATCGTTTCGAGTTTCCATTGCGAGAGGCATGACCTGCCATGCCACCATTCTGGGCGACATCGCTGTTTTCCTCCGCGGATACCATTTCTCCACCCTTGCTATGTCCATTCAACATCCCACGCACATTGCTATCTGCCTTTGTACTATCCTCTCCTTTGCCGGAAACTGTCGGAGATACCACGGCTGTATCGCTAGTAGATCGCACGGAGGATAGATCGAATTGAGCGGACGCGCCCGGACCGGTAGCAGAGCCGTTTCCCGAGTTGCCGTTCAGATGGCCGCTTGACTTTTGCTTCGTTACTTTCTTGCCGGGACCGACGAGGCCATTCTCCTGCCGATTGCTCTGGTTCTTCTTAGCTGCAGCGGAGCGTGGCATGGACAAGGGAGCCCGAAACCCAGGTCCGAGTCAGCTTGGCGGGATGAAGCCAAGGACTGGGACCAGGAAAAAGGCGAAAACGGACTAAAATTGAATATGGTGGGGGGAGGGAAATGGTGCAGATTGGTTCGTATTGTAATGAAGATGAGACAGAGAAAAGAAGTAAATGTATAAGGAAAGTGAGAAAAAAAGAGAAGGACAAGAGGCGACACTCTACGTGGAAGCGTGAAGGGGAAAAAGTGCCCAGGTGGAATTGTATGAGGTTCGAAAGAAACAGAATTGGTATTGGTATTGTCATTTGCCGTCGATCCCTGGTGCCTTTTGGGTAGGCGGTACCTGACTTCAATACCATCCGCCACTATTTCACTTTGGTACTGTGTACTTACACAACGGCTGACTGCAAATTCAGTTTTAAGAGCTCCTGGTAATACATGACTTCTTTGTCGATCTGGAGGTTTCTGCATGAAAAAAATTCCACTCAACAGAGCCAACCCACATGCACTGCCAAGCTTTTCTTCCTCTAAAGGTATCTTACGATACCTTCAGGGCTTATTGACAGGTCACGCCCCTAGGAACTACAACGGCTGCAGTTGCCAAGTCATGCAACGCGGATACCTACACGTCCGGCCAATCCTAAACGTGTTTTTCGCTTTTTCCAGACAATTTTACGTTACCGAGTGGTCTCCATTGCATCGGCATTATGCGGACTTTCCCCAAAATGGGGTTGACTAGCGCTAACAAGTTGAAGTCTATGGAATACAACCTACGATGTACAGATCAACATGGAAGCCTGTTTATATCACCGGTCCCTATTTGCTACCAGACTGACTGACTGGATTGACGATCGACGTTTTTTGACCCGGTCTGCTGCGGGGTCATCCTTGCGTCAAAGTTGTGATGAGTGATATGAATCTCAGATCAGATAATTGTGTGGTGATTACTCGTTGGGAGACTTGCAGATAGATGCGCCTGCAGGCATGAACACGCAACACCTAGCATGAAACGTCATGGGGTGTAAGTCTGGGGAACTGAAGCTTGTGTTTATCAAACGTGTGTATCAATGGGGTTGCCCACATTCTTGCTGGGATCATCACATGCTCGGCTATCTCGTGCATCTTCCTGAAGGGCTCCGCACATATCTACATATTTACTTTGATGGGTCTATAGATCTCAAAAAGGTGACATTTGAGGATATCGAGATTGGCCTAAATAGTTATACTGTGCAGAGGATAAAGTAAACTCCGTAGAAGATATTACTCCGTACAGCCTTGCCAATCCCGATATACGATACCGAGGCTTGGCAAGGTTTCGCAGATCAGCCACAAACTTAGTAAAGATCGGCCCGACGGCCGGGCTTGCTTAGGCTCCTTGGTTATTTTTATGCGGTGAGGATTCTGTAGCATCTATATATAGTATCTCGATCACTTCTTTAGCACTTTGGGACTTTCAGATTTCCAGATTTCCAGTCCAAAGTCCAGAAATAGAGTATGTACTTAGTAGTTCTAAAAAATTGCCAGCACTTCCACTTTTAGCGTGTCGGCCTAGTCCCTTTTGGGACCGGATTTTGCTTGGGGACCGATAAACTTTGGGCTTTCAGGGTCGATCGTTTCAACTCTTACTTGATCTCTTTTTAGGTATTTCCGAAAAAAAAAAGTCCTTTGATATTCTTGTGCAGTTTAAAGCCATACTATAGACAATGTCCGCTTGCTCAGACGTGATCCCAAACCGAGACGTGGTGCCTCGATGAACCATTTTCGGGTGCTCGTGAGCGTACTTGATCGTTCTTTCATCGGATAAAAGCCGCATACTAACCAGCTAAGAGGCAAATGCATAACAATATCTATTTGGTTGGCTCGCCGCTTATCTCGTTATTTTATTAAATAGTCACCAATGATGTCTTGGTTATTGCAATGATACTCGGAGTAGATGGCCAGGTGGTCAATGATCAGTATTACCATGTAAGTCTTTCGGGGCCGATATGTTGGAGTCGATCTTGGTAATCCTTCTTCGGATATCTTCAGATAGCTCGCTGGCATAGCCGTCGGTGGGACTAAATAGGAGTCGCATACATATATGCCTAGTAGCAAATTTCAATCTCGATATCCACTATTAGTTCGGTTCAATCTTCACCCATCTATCAGACATGGAGAGAAATCAATGCAAGGCGGACAATTCCTGAAGCCTCTCGCGAAATTCTCGGAGAACGCTCGGCTATAGCCTGTGCTCAGAGACATTCGCTTGATTGCTCTATCACTTAATACCTGCAAACCATTCATTCTGTAACATCTGGTGTGCTGTGATTTGTCTGGTGGGATCTAGGCAGGTCAACCCCCGAATGAGATGTTTGAACGCGACATCGCAAACATCTGGCCACTCAGAGAATGGGATGTACGGGATGTTCTCCTCATTTCTATCTTCCCAGAGCATCAGCAAGATCTCAGAGTCAATCTGATCACCGGAGATATGCTTCAATAGATCATCAATGCCTACTTTATCAACAAAATACGAAACTTGACGCTGGAGGCGGATAAAAGCAGGCAATGTACCCATCGATTCGTGCATTCTAAAATCTTCGTCAGGTCCAAATACCACGCGACCGAGAACCGCATAGATGCACTGTTGAGGAGTATATGTTAGAGGATTATGTCTTCCGAGGGGCGACAGTACCTACCATAGCACCAAGTGAGAAAAGGTCTGTAGGTTTGTTAAGTTCGCCTCTGAAGTATGCCTCTGGACTGCGCCAGTTATCATTTACAGCTAGCATGTCCTTAATGTACCTGCCTATAGGGAGATTTGCAGCACTCTCTAGGTCGGTGACTTGGACTCTTTCGATCTAAAACTCCTCTACGGCAGTGGTATGACAATGAACCACGATATTATCAGGTCTTATATCTATTTGAACTTAATGTACACCGGGATTGGTGCGGAAGCGTATTGAAGTTACCAAGGTGTACAATTTTTTGATCACGCTACCTTTTCTTCTCGAAAGTATCGAAATGAGTTGTTCAAAAGATGTGGTCCATGTGTACATACAAAGTAGGCAGGAAGGAGACTGGGGTGGATCCACCCCTAGGGCCGAATGGCCTGATTACTAAGAAGGCAGGCCCCCGGGCCCAGGCCACCCTCCAGGACCCTGGAACAATCAAGGTTGTATAATCAATTAGGTCAATTCTTACAACCTACTTGGTCACATTTACCCACAAATCAATTTCCATTCTGAAGAGCCGAGGGGCCAACACTTAAAATGGCACAACCCAAGTCCACGTTTCTCTCACGAGAGCCCTTGGTAAGTGTTCCTAGCCTAATTATACTCTCAGTTACTTACTTGTGGTCTTTAGACTTCCCAAGACGCCAAATGGAAAAGGCTAGTCAAGACAAATTATACCGATCCCAACGGAGTCAAGAGAGACTGGGAGTCCGCTGAGCGCCAGGTACGAATTTTGATATATCAATCCAACCGTAACGACCTAATCAAATCGTAGACAAGACCGGCAGACTCCATTGTAGATGGAGTTAATATCGTCGCTATTCTGAATAATTTCAATGGCTCTGAGATCCTTTTGGAGAAGCAATACCGGCCTCCAATCGACCAAGTCGTCATAGAACTTCCTGCAGGATTAATCGACGCAGGAGAGACAATTGAGCAAACTGCAGTTCGAGAGCTGAAAGAAGAAACTGGGTACATCGGTGTTGCAGATAAAACTACTGGTATCATGTACAATGGTTGGTTGCCCGTTGCTTGTTTTACTGCTGAATATTAGCTGACTTGAGATACTTATACAGATTCCGGCTTCTGCAATACCAATTTCCACATGGTCTACGTTCAGGTTGACATGTCTCTTCCGGAAAATCAGAATCCGAAGCCTGAGCTAGAGGATAATGAGTTTATCGAGTGTTTCACACTTCCGGTATCAGAGCTTTCGGCCGAGTTGCAAAGGTTGGAGAGTGAAGGGTATGCAATTGACGCTCGGGTAGGATCCATTGCGGAGGGGATAGAGATTGCAAAGAGATTAAAGCTTTGAGTTGTCTAGTGGAGTTGAAAAGGTGATTTACTGTCTTGCTCTCATGTTATATATATTGAAGGCCGCCATATGTTAAATAATTCATTGGCGATATGAAGAACAATAATGATGTATCCACCCAGCTGATGTCCATACGCCCCTAAAATAGTGAGCAAATTAAGTGCTGGGGACCCAGGGAGCAACCGAGAGAGCAGTTTGATCATGATTTAGAACTGTTGTTAATCATGAGCAAGACCCGGCTAACTATATATCGATTAGGCGTTTCCTGAATCCCTCCCCCATTATACATACATAATCTGACACTCCAAGGGTCCCGATACTGTGCTAATTACGCCCGTGTTCGGTCCAAAAACTATATCTGATGTTGGTGACTGCTGCTTTTACTATCCCCCGAGATCTAATCAGCCAGGCATACTTGAGACTTATGTACAAAGCACAGAGAACTGCAGCTGTCAATCAAGTGCCCGAAATAATGACAAGGAAAAATAGTCATCCGTAGCCCCGTACGATCTATCTTCAATATTTCTGCCCCATTGTAATCACTGTGGGGCAGACCCATTATCCTCCACAGCATCGACCCGATCCCAGCTTTCAAGCTCCAGATTCCGGACCCGATTTTCGATCTCAGCAATATGCTGACTCCAGTTCTCCTTTCCCTGCTCCTGCTGCTTCCAGATCGCTTCAAACTGCTCCATGACAAAGGGCGGGATTTTGACAGTCTTGCGGTTCTTCTTGTAATCATAGATTACAATATCCTCGAAGCAACGAGCGGCAGGGCGTTGGCGTGCTTCAGACAAGATCATGACTTCGAGTCGGAAAGCCGATTGAGATGAAAGATGCCCAGATGGGTCTGGGATCAGTTTGTGGTAGACGGAAATTTTGTCTGGAGATTCCATGGGCTGTGTGATAGTGAGTAAATAGGTCCACTTAGTTTCTGATCTGGGTACAGTACAAATTTGTAGTCCACCTTAATACTCTTCAGGATGAGCCCGATTCCCGTATTTCCAACCATGCTTAGCCATTCTTTCTTGTTCGCGGTATCGATATGCTTGCCGATATTGCGCGTCCAGTTTACTCGAGCTGTTTCGGCGTATCGTACATAGGTAACGTTGTTGACGTGACCTTAGCGGCCTAGTTAGCACTGTATAACCCATGGATTGGAGAGTAAATTCAAAGTAAAGGGACGGAGCATACCCTATTATCCTGTTAGCTTCGACCTAGAGAGACCACGCAGTAAGCGCAACAGGTAGGGGGCAGGGATGTTCTCACCATAATATCCTAATCCACCACAAGTAGACTTAGCATTAATGACTCTCACCCATAACACAGAACCAAGAAATATGACCCAAGCTCATACCTGTTCTCCCCAGACCACATTATGGCGAAACAGACTACGCCGTTTTTTATCCGTAAGGAATCCCTCACTTCCAGCGATCAATTCCCGCCAATCATTAGCCAATTGCTGTAAAATCCTTCCCGCTTCGTCAACCTGAGGTGGTTTCATCCCAAACATCATGCACTTCCCGATCCTTCGCTTGGTCATTGTAAGCCATCGTGGATCGATCGGTTTTGATGCCGAATTGGGCAGGCTTTGGTTGTTCAAGATTGCCGAAGTTGTAGAGAAGAGACGACGTGTGCCATTTGAGTACAGGGGTGTTGAGACAGATAGCTGCGCTCGAAAAGCCGATTGAGGAAGCATGTTTGCGTAGTTGTTGAGAGACAGTTTAGGCTCAATGTCGCAACTTGGGACAGCTCTCCGATAGCGGATAACCGCCGATAACCGATAAAAACAGAAGCTTGGGGCCCGGGGCGCCATCCGAGGTGAAATCGGCTAAAACCCCGCGTAGATATAGGGGGGTTTGAACCAAGCCCCATATTGATATTATGCTATATTTTTTTGTAACTTGTCTCAGTGAAAGTAGACAGAAAACAAAAATATCCAAATTGATTTATTAAAAGTAGGTAGTACGTAACTTATAGAAATCCACTTGTCATGGGGGAGTCAATCCGCTAGGCACGTCACCGATAACATCCGAAGCCTGGAAGCTTCTCAGCCGCCTACCTTCATGCACCGCATCCTAACCACCAAATATTTACCAGAATAATCCTTGTTCTTGTATGGAGCAACAATGGTAAATCCCGAGTTGCGCCGGCAGGTCATTAACGTCTACAAAGGTATGAAGCCGTACGCGTCACAGAGCGACTTACACGCCTTCCCTTCGGCCTTATGCTGGTCATTTGCCTCACGCTAATAACCCGAGATGTAGAGCTTCTGTTCCTAGGACGGGAATATCCTCTGGGCTATCAGTATTTCCGGGATCGGCTACACCGTGCGTTTGCAAGTCAGACGCAAATTACCGACGACGAGCAGATCCGCAAGGGAATAGCGAGGGCTGAGTTTGTGAAGAAAGGTGAGTACTATCTTGCTAGGATTCCTATCCCTATATTCGGTTGCAATTGCTAATTGTTTAATGCAGAAGTGGAAGCACTGTAAGACTGATCCCTACATCCCTCCCTGCCTTCTATCGCATTGTCACATTCGACTATCCTCATTACACTACCTACACTGCCTACACTGTTGGATTGCAATCATTTGAAAGCACAACGGAATCATTCGTACACGTCATTTTTCTATACATTGCACCCATAATGGGGTAGTGTCTGACTAGATACACTGTGTATAGATTCACTCCTCATTATCATGGCATCATGCAAGAACTATTTTGACCCCTATCACAAGATATTTGGGTTGGTGGAAACTGACAGGATAAAAAAACCCAGGTACTATTTGAAGCGGTACCGAACGCTGAAAAAACGATATGGAAGTGAGGCCTAAGATTCTCATGGCTCTCACCTCTTCTCCAGAAATGTTCAGATCATATGCATGTTAGAAACCCAGAAAGACAGAACATTGAAATAAAATTGGGGGTATCACCAATACAAAGTGCAGAATGGTCACTACTTGACTTTTGCCCACCGGAACTCCAAATTGACTTAAGGGGTTCATTTTTTTTGACCCCACCAGGCGCTCACTTCAAGGCACTCGCCGCTGCCAAGTCCGCCTTTCTGAAGGAGATCGGCTGTCATTGCAGCCCACCATCGGTCCCATTCGTCACGGCCCTTTCCGCTAGACTCCATCAATATCGGTTCCAGACCTTCAATCATCTGGATTGTGGTGAGGAGAGCTGTGCGTCGGATGGAGATCTGCTCTGGAGTCAGGGCCTTTCGTGGACGGTTCTTGGAATCCTTGCCTTGACCGTCTCGCTCCCAGCGCAAATCACCCAGTGGGATTGCGACGCGGCGACTGTCAACATTTTCCAACAAGTCCACTTCGGAGTTGAAGGATAGACCGATGGTCGCGCACGGGAGTGCTGTTAACTTGAGACGGTCGAAGGACTTCTCCACCCAGGAGTTATAATCAACCACGAACTTATTCTGTGCTCGTGTGAATGGTGTGGCAGAGGAGAATGTATAAGTAGCCGTTGCGTCGGCGATTTCCTGCTCTTTTGATGTGGTTTTGCGGGCAGGAGCCGGATTTGGCAGGAGCGAACGGAAGCTCCAATCCGAATCCCACACCTCCAGGATTCCCCCGGACTTCAGCACCCGCAGAGGCTCACTCAAGCCCGACGCAGATTGCGCCGGACTGGAAGGACACATGCCGGCATCTTTAATGAACACAAAATCAAAATAGCCGTCCGGGAAGGGTAAGCGGGGTCGGCGTAGGTCATGACGTTTGAAGTGCCAGTTCATTCCCTGCTTTCGTAGATCTGGTGCGATGGAGATCACATCTATTCCAGAGAAAGCCACATCGGGATTGCCTCTGCGGGCGAAGTATTCGTGGCACAGACCAGACCACAGACCGGACCCGCATGCGATCTCTAGGATGCGTTTGGGCGGCCGATTGGCCAAGTGGGGGTTGCAAAATGGGCCGCCGAGGACGCGCAGCAGCATCATCGTGCGCAGACTTTGGCGGTGGATCTCGGGTAGGTCGCAGGGCAGAGGGTAGACGTTCTCCGGGTCGCGAAAGTAGGTGCGGTCACCCTGGCGCATTAAAGGGTATGTGGAGTAGTCCGTGAGTGAACTCAAGGACGAAGAGGAGGTTGCGGCCATTGTCGAGCTTAGGTTGGAGTGTAAGTCGGACCCGGAGGCGGCGGCTGAGAATCCCATTGCCATTATTTCCATATCACTTTCCTCAAGTATCTCGATTGGTGTCCCCTATGACTTTGAAGATGGGTTGTGGGTTCGGTCGCATTCTCGGCGCACTGAAGAGTTCATGAACGAGGCATGCCTTTTGCTGAAGGGGGGTGTTTTTTTTCAAGTGGAAGATAATTCCGAGGAAATTAGGAATTAAAATAGGAAAATCGAAATCGAGTCGAACAGGGAAGGTGACAGGGACCAAAGCGGGTTCGGAAATTATCCCTAGTGCAGCCGGGGCGCAAAACTGAAGAAATTTCTTGTTTAACGTCAAACAAAAGCTGAAATTGCAAGTCCTTTTAGTTTTGTGTAGAAGTAAATTATTCGAGAAGAAGAAATGGGGGAAAGGGGAGGGAAGGGAAAAAAGCAGGCCTAGTCCTGTTAATTGACCCCTGGAAGTTGAATATCCACTCGAGTCTAGTTTAGTCTCTTCATGGTACTTTACTGAAAAAAAATATATCAAATTGTATTGTGACCAATAGTATTCTGTTTTAAACTTGACCTACATGCATCCTTGGATTCCTATTTTTATATGATGTATATAAGTAAAAGCCGTTGACATCATGACTCTCAAGGCTATATCCTCTGGCTCAATGGCCGAAAAGGGAAAATTTGGGCGAATGCGGTACCTCGGGACTATAAAACCCGAACTGTACGTTTATTTTCAATTGGAGTCTAGAATATGGATGTCAAGCTTGGAGTGCCTGATTTAGGGCAATGCCCCTTGCTCTAATACTAGATTGATAAGATACAAAGTACGGAGTGTACTTATTCAACGGCCCCGGTAATACTCCGTAGACATGTATCCAATTCAAAAGGATGCACAAACTGTGGGAGATCCCTACCCGTCATGTTCATAGCGCAGGTACCAAATTATTTAATAAATAATTGGATCTTAGGTCTGGCGCAATATTCTGAGACTTAGCCCGCCATTGTCTCTCTATCTGATACAGTGTACTAGGTTATTCCGTGGCCCCCGACGCTAAGTCCCAGGCACTTGTTCATGGTATCGGCTATTCCACACGATCGTCTTGGTCTGCACTGTGATCCGTGCCCTTTCCGCTCTCGGCAGTGAATATGGGTCAAACGTACCTGCAGACCGATACGAGAATTCGATTGACACTCGTCTGCCTCGTACTTTTTATCAGAACTAGTTTAACTTTTCAAGACACGGGGAGGCGAAGAGGCAAATATGATCAGTAAGAAGATGGCAACCTGTTGGTGCGTTGGCAGAACATTGATCCCTTTTTGTGAATATGCGAGTATACTAGGTCTGTGCTACCTTGCAGGAGCTATACATCAATGCATAGTATACATCATCTGAACGATATCTCTATATCCATTATGGCTTGAACAGAACCGGCCCAAGCGCCATATCACTATTAAAATTATCTTGAACCTCCTCTATCCGGACAACATTTAATAGTTCTTTTACCCCGAATAGATACCATGTTAAGATGACGTTTTAAGACATTCACAAGGATCAGTATAGGAATAGGAGTTACCTGCTTTGTATGGGATACTCCGTCCTTAATCATACGATTGTGGAATTGAGCAATGATCAGTCCATTAGTGGCTTTTCCGTCTCAAGCACTTCACGCCTAGGGGAAGCTCGCTGGCCGGAAAATAATATGACACACAGGATTCTCCTGATTCTCACCTACAGAGGACGAGACTGAAAGACTAGACTCAATTTTAGAAGTATCAGATATTATTAGCAGGGGCTTGGACTAGACAGGTCATTGTCCATTCTTTCAATCCTCAAGCCCAGGTCTCTGTCCCTTTTTGCCCGGCCCATTGGTTATATATCTATATTCTAAACCCGAATTAATTTCATTGTATGTTCCCCCGTAGTGTTCGCTAGCTTCAAACAAGATGTTTAGGCAGAATCAAAATCCGACGCAGGTTCGACTTGCCAAAGACGGTTGCATATGCCCATGGTTTTGGCAGGCAGTGTTGACCATGTGGCTAGTTTTCATATAAACAGTCCCATCGATCAAAAAGTAACACGAAAGTGCGAGATAGATGAACATAACAATACTCAACTTTTCCTCTAAAAAACGTCAAAACAGTGAAGGGACGATTGTGTCTTGGCAATTCAAGCTCAAAAGCTGGCGAAGACTTGGCCCTTGCGGCGATTCACGTGACCGCGTGACTCCCGCCTCGCTGCAAACCACCAGTGTCCATCTCAAGACGTCCTCATCGGCCTAGAGACAATCGTATGGTTTGCTCATCCTTGCTACGTCAATTCTGCCCCGCTGGTTTTCTTCGACTCTCTATCACTCAATTTGTTTTTACTTTTTCCAATCACTCCTTCTTTTGACCCTTCCGCCCAATCTCCGCCCTTAGGTACCGCTCCATCGCACGCCTAAAGATACTCTCAGTGCCAAAGTCAGCAACCTTCAATCGTGGTTTGATACAGTGGTTTTGCCTTAGGCCTCTATGTGGAAGAAGAGAAGAGACCGTCTCCGATCCTCTCCTCTCCTCTCCTCGACCCAACTCAACTTAGCGCCGCCCACCAACCAACAGGTTTTCCACCAGGGAAACAACACACGGTCTCGTCTGCCACGTTAAATGGCAGATGGTACCTACAGGTTCCAGCAGCCTGGGGCCGGGCAGTTCTACTTCCAAGCTCAAGCACAGCAGAACCCTCACCAGCGACACATCGTTCGAAACGGGACCAACTCTCCGACGGGTCGACTGAAATTCAACAACGACACCCCCTCTCCTTCTCGATCCCCTGCCCTAAACCAGGCTGCTGCTCTCAGCCCTTTCAACAACATGTACGGCCAAACTCACCAAGGTCAGCATGTCATGATGAATGGCGGTCAAGCCCACCAGCGGTTTGGCATGCCAATCCCAAAGTTCCAATCGCAAACCCACCACTCTCATCACACACAACAGCCGCATCATCACACCCACCACTCACAAGCGACCCACAACCTCACTCATCAACACAATTTCCCCAGTGGCGCACTGGCTACTACAACCACCTCTCATTTCACCTCGACTCATTTGCAGAATGGAATACCGACCGCGGACGATGATCTTGATGAATCAATGAACGAGCATTGGCAGCAGCAGCTCCAACTTGCGGCAGAATCACGACAAGCCACTTCTCCCCACTACCATGCCCGTGTCATTGCGCAACAAACGAAAGGCATCCAGCTCATGTCCAACCAAACTGACACAGAAAGTGGGACGGATGGGCGCAATGGTGCGTCTGCGGGGAAGCCAGCTAGCCGACAGGGTTGGAATGCGCTTGATTTCGGTGGCCAAGGATTGCGGGCTTTGACTACTTCATTGTTCAACTATGGCTTCATTGAGAAGCTGTACCTCAATTCCAACAAGCTGAAGGTGTTGCCCCCGGCTATTGGACAACTGCGGAAGCTGACCCATCTGGACCTATCGGGCAATGACCTGACAGAGCTACCAGAAGAACTTGGTATGCTTTCAAATCTGAAGAAGCTCCTTCTCTTTGATAACAACATTCGCACCCTCCCTTACGAAATGGGGTACCTTTACCGGTTGGAAACCTTGGGCATTGAGGGAAATCCCCTGAACGATGTCCTCAAATCTCAGATCATGAAGGATGGCACAAAGGCTCTCATCAAGTACCTGAAAGAAGAGATGCCAGGTACGTTTCAATTGCTCCTTTCCAGAATATTTGCGCGAGCTTGTTCGCTAACTTCATCATTGCAGTGCACCTACCTCCTCCTGACCGTGATTGGGTTATCCTCGATGATACTTCAACCTCGTCCAACAGTAATACGGAAAAGATCACCGTACTGTCGTACAACACCCTGTGTGACTCTTCTGCCACCCAATCGCATTACGGCTATGTGCCTTCACGTGTCCTGTCCTGGGAATTCCGCCGCGAGCTTATTCTCAACGAATTACGATCCCATAACTCAGATATTGTCTGCCTTCAGGAGGTTGATCAAGGAAGTTACAACAATTTCTTCCGGGAGCAGCTTGCCTACAACGACTACAAAGGTGTCTATTGGCCGCGTGGTCGTGCAATGGGCATGCAGGAGGAAGACGCCCGGATGGTCGATGGATGTGCTACATTCTTCAAGGGAAGCAAGTACATCCTGTTGGACAAGCAATTGATCAACTTTGGTCAGACCGCCGTCCGTCGACCCGATGCCAAGGGCCAGGATGATATCTACAACCGACTGTGGCAGAAGGACCACATCGCCGTTGTGGTCTTCTTAGAGAACCGGCAAACCGGCGCTCGTTTCATCAGTGTGAACGCTCATCTGTATTGGGATCCTGCTTTCAAGGATGTCAAGCTCATCCAGACTGCAATTCTGATGGAGGAGATCACCAAACTCTCAGATAACTATGCCAAATGGCCCGCTTGCACGGACAAGACCGCATTCCGTTTCTCGGAGGCCGAAAGTGGCTCAGAGACCGCGCCCGTGGTGGAACCGGCCCCGTCGATGGAGTACACCAGTGGCGATCAGATTCCCGTTCTCATGTGCGGTGATTTCAACTCCTCACCAGGGTCTGCGGCTTACAACTTGATCTCCACTGGACGACTTCCCGAAGCCCATCCCGATCTGGAGAAGCGACTTTACGGAAACCTCAGCCGGGTTGGCATGACACATCCTTTCAAGTTGAAGTCAGCCTACTCCTCCATGGGAGAATTGAGCTTCACCAACTACACCTCCGACTTCACTGCCATTCTCGACTACATTTGGTACTCTTCCAATACTCTCCATGTGTCGGCGTTGCTCGGCGAAGTGGACAAGGAGTATCTGCGCCGCGTGCCCGGGTTCCCAAATTTCCACTTCCCCAGTGATCACGTCGCGTTGCTTGCGGAGTTTACGGTAAAGGGCAAGAAGGGCAAGGTGGTAGAGGCAGACTTCGGCCCACAACGGCACTAACGACATGGAAGCATTTGAGATCTTCGGAGATGGGGTGTTTTTCCAACCGGTTTCTTTCCTTCGTGCTTGTTATTTCGGAATCTTTTTGGGTGGTGGCTGTCTAGCCAGCCGTCTTATGGTGTTTCTTTACGTATTTCTTTTTTTTCTCTTTCTCGTGCTTTTTTCTCTCTCTCCTGCTTATGAACGTCCTTCTTCCTTTTTCCTCTTGCTTATCCTCCTCTGTATCCTCTTGATTTGCTAGCGGAGTATCTGTTCCTCGAACCATGGTCTCACCTCGTGTTCTTTGGATGTAGTGAAACGGTACGGCAGTCTCCATTTACTCTCTGGCGTTCTCTCTTCCCTCCACACTCTCCCCCTTTGTCCCTCAATCTCACTCTCTACATCTCCTGTGTCTTCTTCCGTTAAGTTTCCTGATTTATCTCGGTTTCATCTCACCTAATCTCTAACGTCATCTGAGACGGCTTCACGACGCTTAGGATCGGGGATTGGTGTTCGGGGGGAACAGGTGGTGAAGGGTATCTGCTTATTGCCCGTGACGAGGTTGCTTTTTGTCATTATTTTCGATCAGGCGAAGGGAGTTCTGTCTGTTCTATGTACGTGTTTATTGTGCCATCCGTCATGTGCGAGGTTCAATCAAGAATAGAGCGTGGCTTCGTTCATTTCAGTCGTTCTTTTGTAGATATGTTCGGCGTACTTGCTGGTAAATGTAGACCGAGATGCTCTTGCCATGAGGTCTTGGGCACAATGTTTCGATGCTTATGACTGTGCAATACATGATTGCTGTCCCAGACTACTATGCGCCTTACACTAGCAGAACAGGGGACTCGGTGAGACTGAGCACAATATCTACAGATGACCTTTGGTGTAACTCCTTTGGAAAGCTAATAAATCTGACGTTAGCTCTGCCTTTCTCCCCGATACCCCATGCTCATACAGTGTACGTACCTTTTATAATGCACGGGCATCTTAAAATGGAACTATGGAAAGTTCTTTTCGCAGCCTTGCATTTTTAGCTCTAGTAGGCGAATCCAGTGTTTTTCACTTTCGTCATAAGACACTTGGAGGAGAGTGATTCTATTCTATTATACAATATTATACATTTGGCTTGGAATAATCTACAGCCGTGCCAACTATGAGGCTTAATAATTGAACAAGTATATCTTACTCCCCTCATAACACCCAATATAGAGCCCGCTCCCCACAACCGCTGCTACGCAGGTCAAAACAGATCCCCGAAACAATCCAGCTACCCCCTCCTTCCGCAACACATCTCGAGCAATAGCAAATGCCCCGACACGGGATGGTAAACCGGAGGTTACTTTGAGACTCGATCGGGTGCAGCCTACCTGGTCCCCAACCGCAAGTCTCATCCTCGTCTTGACCACATGGATAGGAACAAAGAACCAAGACGCACAACCCCCCGCAACACCAGCACTCAAAACAGTCGCTTCAAGCTGCTGTCTGATATCACCTTTCTCTGCCTTCCACCGCTCAAGCAAATCCTCCTTAAACATCTCATACAAACAAAACGTAAGACAGATATTCGGTAATTGACTCGCCACCAAAGCAGTATATCCAGCCCACAACCCAGAAGGATATTTCCGAAACTGATGAATCATCTCCATCGTCGGAGACGGACCGCCTTTAGCATGAAGCGGCCGCTGAACAACCTGAGCATTCTGCTTCAATACCTCAGCTGGGTTCTGGATAGCGCAAGCGAGTAGTTCGGCAACAGCACTACTAGCAACGTGAATCAGCGGCCGCGGGACGTCGAGCATATATCCAGCAGACTGTGCATTCTCGAAGGCTACTTTTGAGGCTTCGTATGCTGTGAAGAAAGCTGCTGATGAGAGTGTCCCTGCGATGAAGGTTGGTCCGAAGCCTTGGTACAGCCCGCTGAAGAGGTTGCGGTTGAGTGTGCCGTTTAGGTGCTTATAGACGCTGCTATATATTGGGGATTGCATGCGTGTTATTACTGTGTCCATTGGGTGGATGGCGCCTTCGCTGGCTAGCGCGGCGATGATGGCGGCCTGTATGGGTTAGTTGGGGGTTTGGGATTGTATATAGTGGGATAGCTGGACTAACTGTCGTTACTTCTGCGCCATCGAATGTAGTCATTTTGGTTTATATGTCGCCAAAGTATTGGAAGAAATGGTTGTGACTCTATGATGGATGCATAAAAAAGACCCAGAGGCTGACGCCGGGGTCCGCGGACCCCGGCGTATTGGAATTTTTCGACCCCGAGCTTGCGCGATTTGTCTGGGTTGAGTATTATTTTGAATTTGAAATATTTAAGAGACTAATGCTTAGTATTGATATATTTTATTCAAATTGAATTGGTTTGTTGTCTGTTCCAAACACTACTAGTGTTGTTAACCAAGTGGTAAGTATACTTCGAATGTTGAGCTCTTGTGTCTCTGCTATCAACCAGAACAAATCCAGCTTTTCTCGATTAGGCACCCCTATCCTTCTCTAGGCCCCTGTTTGTACTTTCCGTCGTTTGACTAGCCAGAGAAAAAGCAAAGCCACACTAGCACAAATGTAAGAGATACCACAGAACACTTGGGCATTTCGATACGGATAGTAGGACCCTAGACGGCGTAATTTGAGTGCTATAACCTCGGAGACTATATATGGGTGTTAGCTGAATATCTCCAAAAACATCTGTGAAACTCTTACATGTTGTAGGGAGCACGATAACAGACCAAGACAAAGAGAGGAGTGATTGGAGCTGCTCCAATCCCGCGACCTCAACACATAATGGTCCCACGGTCTATTAGAAAGTTCAGCGGTCACATAGAATTGGTATGGGGTGGATCAACTTACAACCCAGAAGACCCCAAGAATAGCTCCGCTAATGAAGGCGAAGAGAACAAGTACCCCGTATGATGTTGAGGGAAGCCAAATGACAAAACAACTAATGCCACAAAAGCAAGTCAAGAGGCCAGCGACCTCAATCCTGCCAAAACGATCACTGGCAACGCCGATCAGTGGCCGGCCAACAGCAGTTCCCAAGTTCAAGATCGCATTGACAATTGTAGCTTGGTTGTCTGAAAGTCCAATGGAGCGTGCATAATCTGGAAGTGAATACAGCAGACAAATATAGCCAAGCATACTGAGAAAAGCCCACGATAGCAACAGTAGAACGTCTAAACGACACAAGAGTTTCACATCGAATCCCCGCTGGGACGGCTGTATAGCTTCATTGCGAGTTCGGATTAGGAAAATAGCAATGATCAGTATTGAGCAACTGATAATAGCTGTCAACCGCAACGCCCAAGCAAGAGATATTTCCCGAATGACTGAACCATCCATAAACGAGAAAATCAAGCCACCGATACCTGATCCGGCTGCACTGATCCCGTTGGCAAGACTTCTTTTCTTGTCAAACCACTGAGAGAGAACAGGAATGCTTGGTATATAGATAAAGCCAACCCCAAATCCAATCAAGACTCCCTGTGACAGATAGAGCTGCCAGATTCTTTGTGAAAAGGACGCAGAGACATATCCCGATACCAAAAGCCCCAACCCGAGTAGCATCGGTAACTTGGTGCCGTATTTGCGAGCGATGATTGTAACAGCAGGGGCTACCAACATCGCCATGGAAAAATTTAGACCTCCAATCAGGGCAAAGTCCATGGGAGTAGCATCAGGGAATATGTTGTTCGAGAGATAGTATGCCAAGTACACGCCGTATGACTGTTAAGAACATGAGCTGGGTTGCCTCTGACACTGATCCAGAGATGACGCACAGAGACCGCACCCCAAGTGAAGCAATTAATAGAAAAACACGCAGCTACGCACACCCAGCCGTACCCGCCGTCTGGGGGTGGACATGCGTTGGAAGAAGGCGACATCGTATAGCATCAAGAGACTGCGGGGAACAAGGTCTCCGTGTAGGGGTTTCTTCGTCAAATGTTCAACTCCCAATAGTCCATCCATACATATCGAGGGAAACAAGGAGTATTTAAATATATTCTATCTCGACTCTATGGCTACTTTTGACTTGCCGAATGTGGTATGTCACTGTTACTTTGCATGACTACTGACAGAGTGATCGGCAAGAACTAGAATACCACTTGTTAATAATGACAAATATGCTAATGATCTGGATGAGCTTGCACATAGATCCGACTGCTTAAATCCATAAATACGGGCTGGTTGAGAAATGGAATGAAGCCATGATTGATGCGAGCTGGCAGTAATTATTTCACCCATTTTCAACTCTCATTCATAAGCTGAGTATAATCCTTGCCAGCTGCTGACCATCCCTAAATACCTCCTTCTAGCACAATTCTCTTTATTTCGATGTCTTTTCACTGTTCCACGTGATGCCTGAAAGCCCGTGTCCAATATTGGCACCTTGCCCTTCCTCTCTTCACCTGTCTCTCATGCCTCCAGAAATAAATCGACCCAGCCAAATCTCGGACATGATTGAATCACCAAATTCTAGAAAGCATGGTTCCTGCGACTAGAAATCTATTCAAAACCCAGACACTTGCTTTTTCGGTCTGGAACCTGAAATTGTCCACTCGACATGCGGTTCCTACTAACAAAGCGATTCCTCTTACTGGCAAAACCAAACGGCCCTCACTGAAGCCTCGAGATTTTACTTTTAATCACAAACATCGAATCCAAAGGATGGCATCAGATTATTTAGCAATCGATGAAATAGCTTTAGCTTTATGGGCCAGATTGGCGAGTGAGGACCCTTACAACCCATCTAAACGTACACCTAACTATGATTTCACGAGCAACACTGCTGATCACCTCGAAAAAGCTTTAAAGGAGACTGATTCCCAATCTTGGGGTTTTCCTATTTATCGATCCACATACCAGAGTGATTCTGACTGGGCAGAGTCCTCCGTCGCGCTAATCTACTTTGCTGTGAATGCAACTTGCCTGTATTCTGTACAGCATATGAACCTTAGACGGAGGAGCCGTTGAATTACTAATCGAGGCGACGAAATATGTTAAGCAACCATACCATAATACATTGTCTTTCTGACAAGCTCTATGTTATTCTATGTCTTTCAAATACCTGCAGCAACATCCTGATTCTGCTCCTTTCTCTTCTTCTCCTCCCGCTCACTAAACCGGTCACCAAAAAGACCAATGTGAGGCCGCATCAGAATCGTATATTTGACAAACTCCTCCATGCAATCCACCAGACGATCTCGATTGCCACTAGGCAACAATCGTTGATCTCCCGGCTGACCTTCATCCGGAAATTGTGTATACGCCTTGGGGATCGAAGACTGATTCGGAATGGTAAACATACGCATCCACCGACCCAGGATACGCAAAGAGTTGACCGCATTAAACGATTGGGATCCACCACACACCTGGGCGATGGCCAGCGTTCGGCCTTGGGTGGGACGGACACTTCCGGTACTCAATGGAATCCAATCGATCTGATTTTTGAACACAGCAGTCTGGAGTTAAAGAAAAATACGTCAGTAAATATTGCATCAAATGTTAAGATTGTCCCGAGAGCCACTCACCAGATTTCCGTGTTGTTCAGGCGAAACCCAGACATGTCCATCGCTCCATACACTGAGTTCTCTCAGCTCCAGTACTTTGGGATGGGCGGTATCACTGTCGTTCTTTATAGGAAGACCTTCGGGGTCAAAGACGCGGACGTCACAGCCCAGCCGGAACAGGATACGGGAGGCCTCCAATGCCACCAGTCTCGAATATGACCTTTTGCGAAGACTTCCATAGAGTACCAGAACTTTCAGCCTCTGGTTTGTAACCCGCAGGTTTTCTTCTGCCATATCCGCTGCGGTGGCTAGGTCCAATTTGTTGACCCAGTCCTCAGGTGTATTGTCGTCAAGGATAAATGGTCGATACTTCTGGCGGATATCAGGGCTATCGTCACTCGGAGGTAACGCCAGAGATCGATATGAGACATTGGATTGGGTGTTTACAACCACTGGAGGAAGGACGGAGGACATTCTTGCTGGATATTTGGGGCGCAGCAGCGATCGTGAGATTGCTGGCCTAAGTGTTGAAGAGGCTCTTTTGATAAGGTAAGATAGCATATATATCAAGGTTGAACGGTAACAAAGAATAAGACTAAGAAACATTGATTTTGGCATGATATAGTAGCCCTCGAGAAGTATGTCACTGGCAGCACATGATTGGACAGGATATCAGAACATAGTTTGCTATGAACCAATAGAATTCTAACAGTGGGTCTAAAGACCCATGGTCTCCTGGAGGCTCTTACCAATCTGAATTTGGATCTTTCCAAGGTTGCCCAAGTGAGTGCCTGGGCAGCCTGGGGCGATCATGGGCTTATATATATACAATATCAAACAGAAGAAGCGAAAAGAAGCAAAAGGGCAGAGTCACAATCGGTCAAGGTTGACAAATCTTGATAGGGAAGGCAGAATCTACTTAGCTGACGTCCCTGGAATATACTTGATATCCCTGAGATTGTACGGAGTATCCATCAATTTTCTGTATCATTATAGTCATCTTATTTCTGCATAATTATGTTAGGATGTAATTTTGTTCAAATGTATAATTTGAGTTTAATATGAATTTTTGGACTGGGTGGAGCGTTGCATCGTGGCTTGACATTCCTGCCGAGGTAAGGTCCGAGGCCTTATCCATGCTAAAACGTCACTGGTGCCCATCTCTTCTCTAACCACCTCTCAAGCTTCTGTATAAGCTCCAGTCAAAATGAACACAGAAGAAAGCGTGCACACTCTCCCAGATGGCCTTGAGCTGTATGCCAAGACATGGAAGGTATGTTTGAATTTGCAACACAGCTTTGATTCCTATCTGGATTAGCTGGGATGTACTCCAACCTCAAGATAAGGGTATTGATATCCAACGCTAACATTTGCTCTACTCTGCAGACTAGCGGGTCTCCACTTGCTGTTTTGGCCTTTATCCATGGCTTCAGTGACCACTGTGAGTCTATTGTGTCTGTTATGAGCAATAAGCCAAGACATCCCAGCGTTCATAAGACAAGCTATTGACACAAACCCTGGCTAGGCAATGCCTACCACGATCTGTTCCCGACACTGGCATCGGCAGGTATCGAGGTCAGGTCTTTCGATCAGCGGTACGTGTTGAACCACCAAGACCAAACCCTGTCCTGATATTGGGTCCTGATATCCCAATATCAATCGCCGCAAAGAAAACGACCGATCCATTATAACCCCCCCTAACTAATAACCCAAAACCAGAGGATGGGGCCGCAGCGTCAAACAACCCCGTGACCAGGGCAACACAGGCCCAACCTCCCAAGTCCTCGCAGACATCCACTCTTTCCTGAAAAGCCTACCATCCCGCCCTAACTTGCCGCTCTTCCTAATGGGCCACAGCATGGGCGGCGGCCAAGTCCTCAATTACATTTTCCACCCAGAGTCACCCTACAACCAAGACAAAGCTAGCCGGCCCAACTTCAGCGGCGTGCTTCTGTACTCCCCTCTAATCGCCATAGATCCTTCAACTCGCCCCTCAAAGCTGACCGTCGCAGCGGGGCGGATTGTCGCAAAGTTGATCCCCCAGAAGCAGCGTTATTCCCCGCTTGATGCGAATCTGCTGTCTCGTAACAAGGACACAGTTAAGGAGTTCATGGATGATAAGCTGTGTCATGATACGGGGACTTTTGGGGGTTTGTCCGGCATGTTGGATCGGGGCATTTGGTTGGAGGGGATGTTTGAGGCTGGGGATGGGGAGTGGGTGAAGAGTGATCTGCCGTTTTGGTTTGGACATGGAGATGGGGATCTCATTACTAGTTATCCTGCGACGAAGTACTTTGCTAAGAAGTTGACGGAGAAGGGTGGTGATGTGACGTTTTGTTCTTATGAGGGGGCTTATCACAAGTTGCACGCTGAGTTGCCTGAGACGACGGAGAAGTTTTTGGCGGATGTGAAGACTTTCATTTTGAGTAAAGTGCCCAAGACGGAGGGGGCGGTCGTTCACGATGAGGTAGAGGGTGTTCAAGATGTTCAGGGTGAAGGTGGCGTTGACACTGCTGTTCATGGAGATGTGGAAACCGAGGATAAAGCAAAGCTGTAAAGTAATTGTTTCTTGTTATGACATTTTTCAGGTATCTCGATAATATTATTCTCACAATTCTCTATATGGTACAAATGGCTTCGGTCTGTATCAGACATGCAATAGAATACAGGTATATAGTACAGGTACAGGATTTATATGCTTGGGATAGCCGAGAACTTAACGGTCTTCGATCCGGCGCCAGACCGCCACGAAGCCACCGCCCTGGATACGCACTCCCACCTTGGGCCGACAGACCAAGACTGACTCTCCTTCCTTAGGAGGCTCCTCTGTGGTGGGAACCTCAGAGGCGGTAGACTGCTCGTCGGCCTCAACAGGAGTGGCACCCTCAGCATCTGCAGGGGCAGCCCAGGACGCTGGGTCGGCGCCGGACTTTTTGGTCGCAAAACGCACATCCCATGTGCGACCGCCGCTGATTCCAGAACCAAGCTCGATCACCTTCTCCTGAACAAGGGGCAGTCGCTGGTCCCGGATCAGTTGCAGACACTCGCCAATCTGCGTGATACTAGGCATGAACACCACCAGGAGGCCATCGCGCTTTAACATCGGGGTAACATGCGGGATCCTCAAGTTTGAGGAAGGCATGTCCAGAATAACGTGTGAAAGGAACGGATCGACGGGATTTCCCCCAGTCAGTGAAGCCAGGCCAGTCTTTTCCCGCTGCTGCTTCTGCTGGGCGATCCAATTTTCGACGGGGCCCACGTAGAAATCAATGTTGCCTGCGTAGATTCCACGGCGGAATCCCCGGATGTTTTTCTCGGCCAGCGCAGCGAACTTCGGCGATACGTCGACTGTGTGGATGATAGCGTTGCGCTGCGCTCGCCACGCATCCCATTCTTCCTGTGCTGAATCCGCAATTTGCTCGGTGGGTTTCTCTCCTATTTGTTCCGTGTCCTTTTCATTCGGCCTGGTGATACGGCCTTCTAGGTAGTTGATCTGGGTTCGCAATGGACGAGGCGGAGGGGTGGTATTGGCGGCATGAATGGCACGCGCCAGATGTAGTGTCAGGGATCCATGGCCTGTTCCGGACTCGAGGATTTCTAGGGTGGGCTGTGTTTCGCCCGCGGCAGGTGTGTTGACGTGAATGTCGAGAAGGGAAGCAATCAAATTGGCATCCTGTGGATAGATCTACTGGGATAGCGTGAGTCCAATGTATCTGTGTCTGATCCGTATGAGTGATGCGCGTACCGGCGTGACCAAGCGAGGAGTCAGGGCGACGTATTCTTCTAACGTTGGGAGACTGACGCGGAGATTCAGGCCTGTATATAACGGAAGTATCAGTGTCATGTTCGAGGAGTACAGACAACTGGGTGTCGTTGACCTTTTCGAGACTGCACTGTGTCCCAGACCCGTTTCCCAATGATGCTATCATGTTCCACTGCCCCACGAGGAGTCTGGAGCTTTTCACCTCGCTTCAATGCTTTTGACAATGAGGGTTGTTTGCCGTGTAAGATGACTCGGTCACCCTCTGCGCATTTCGTTAGTCCGAGATTAGGAAGACGCGTTGCAGCACAATTACCTTTTATAATAGAGAAATTGGTGTCAATGGTCCGAGAGCGCAATGTACCTGGTGTTGCGGTCGCACCAAAGACGCGCTGTAGGGCCTGGCGTAGACGAGACATGATCTATAGCAATAGCAATATAAAGCCTGAAGTATTAAAAACTAGAAAAGGAAAATCTGGCTGGTCGAGACTAGCCCACTGCGGTACCGCTCGACCCACCCCCGAGTTCACCGAATCGAGGGGCACATCTTTAATTTCAGGGCTTCTCTGTTCTCTAGATTGTACATATATACCATTTTCTTCTTTGATTCATTTCTATCGCTATAACTATGGGTTCCAACGCTCTCCCATACATGGAGACTAAGCCTAAGCTCATCTTCTTCACCGATTTCGATGGGACAATCACAGTCGACGACAGTAGGTGCTTCCATAAAAGTGCCAGTACTTGAATGCTGACTAGAATCGCAGGCAATGACTTCATGGTATATCGCATCGCTAGCCTCTCCTAGATCTTCACTAATACCACTCAGATTGATAACCTTGGCTTCGGCCGGGAAAAGCGCCTCGCGTTGGGCGACCGGGTCCTAAACGAGACCCTGAGCTTCCGGTGAGTGCTGAAAACACTGTCTATTCCACAAGCAAACCCTCATGAATATTTCTTCACTATAGGGATGCCTTCCGCGAGATGCTTGAAAGTATCAAGACCCCTTACGACGAGTGCATCAAGACGCTGTTAAAGAACATGAAGCTGGACCCTTACTTCGAGGAATTCTACCACTGGGCTAAGGATAACAATGTTCCCATTGTAATCCTGTCATCTGGCATGCGACCCATTATCAGCGCTTTGTTGGAGAAGTTCCTCGGTCACAAGCCAGCCAGCCACCTCACCATCATTTCCAACGAGGCCGTGAGCCGAGATGGCAAGGATATTAACAGCGAGGGTGGTTGGCAGATTGAGTACCATGATGACAGGTAAGCCACTGTCAATCCGATTATCATTCGCCTAGCCTCACTGATAATCATTCACCAGCCACTTCGGACATGACAAGTCCTTGGAGATTAAGCCTTATGCCACGTTGCCCGATGGAGAGCGCCCAATTCTTCTATACGCGGGAGATGGTATTTCTGATTTGTCTGCGGCTGCAGAAACCGATCTTCTCTTCGCCAAACAAGGCAAAGGTATTCATCTGCCCGAACCGCCATGAACCCAGATTCCGAGATACTGAACTAATGCCGTTGCAGATTTGGTGACCTACTGCCAGCGCAGGGGAATGCCCTACACAACTTTCGAGAACTGGTCGACAATCCTTTCGACTACCAAAGACATCTTGAGTGGCAAGGCGTCACCGAGTGATGTGGCTGCCAAGGCTTAGGCTTCGCTCGGGCAGAACGGAGGTAGACCTGTATAGACATGCAAATATACAGACATGATTGTTGACGATGGACATAACTTTCACATAGATTTAGACAATGATAATAAAAAGATCAGTGAAAATAGTAAGAATAGCCAAGTCAATGAATCATCTGAAGTACAAACCCCAAGCATCAGCCAGAGGCTTGGCCCTTCAGGAGTCACCGCCTTCGGGGCCCAAGCGTCGAGGGTGAAATGCGAACTTCAACCCTCCAAACAAGTTATACTTGTCCTTTATATTCTAGAGTTGACCGAACGTGGTCTTCTCCTTTGCCCTACCCCCTTGCAATTGGTGGGCATCATGCGACAGTGCGCCTCGCATTTATTCAAGTCCTTGCCAGGGTGATCTCTATCTCATCATGGCTCGCCGGCTAGTACGACTTTATTTTACTCCCTGTGAAACAGTCTGCTAACACCTAATTTGTGTAGGTCCGAGCGAGTGTACAGCTCGTTTTACTCGCAACATTCATTCTCCTCGCCGTGGTCGTTCTCGATAATCGATTTAGTGTCCTTCCCTCTTCAATCCATGGCCATCTTCCGTCGCATTATTCCGGCTACGTGATCACAGATGTGACCGTTACAACATGTTCTACCCTCAACCCATTCTCGAGCTGTAAGCTAGACCCAGACACCTGGTACCGCGTCGATAAGGACCTCTACCTGCGCTCGGGCTGGACCTCAAGTGCGTACGTTCAATTCAAGCGGAAGAAGGAGGAGGAATTGGGCCTTGATGACAAAGTGGTCATCGACTTGAAAATCAGTCGTATCACTCCCGCGTCTGAATTTGTTGGAAAGACGGAAATCGAAGCGTGGGAACCCCGACCGGGAGGCATTTGGCTCAAGCGCTCGTCCTCCCGCCATGCTAGTGACTCTGAAAAAGCCGTGACATACATCGATGTCCTCTATGGAGCGGATGCTGTCGATCCCCGTCCCAACTGGGAAGTCAAAGATACCCCCATTCTCCTGGATAGTGTGACGGAGCAGTTGGAGACTCGCCTTAGTATTCGAAGAGGACACCCGCAGGGCAAACCCAAGAAACCCGTTCCCAGGATCAACGAGAACGGGAAATTCAAGGTGATGCAGTTGGCAGATCTCCACATGAGCACTGGTCTCGGCCACTGCCGTGACCCTGTGCCCGCGGAAGCGGTAGCTGGCCGGAAATGTGAAGCCGACCCCCGAACCTTGGAATTTGTCGCACGACTTCTCGACGAAGAGAAGCCGGACATGGTGGTCCTATCTGGTGACCAGATCAACGGGGAGACCGCTCCAGATGCACAAAGTGCTCTCTACAAGGCTGTGAAGCTTTTGGTCGATCGCAAAATTCCTTACGCGGCCATCTTTGGAAACCACGACGACGAGGGTGATCTCAACCGAGAACAACTCATGACCATATATGAAGACCTTCCTTACTCTCTTTCAGCCGCCGGCCCCGAAGACATTGACGGGGTCGGAAACTACGTTGTCGAAGTCCTCGATTGGGGCAAAAGCACACACTCTGCCTTGACCTTTTATTTCCTTGACACACATTCCTACTCCCCTGACGAGCGTCAGTTCCGCGGCTACGATTGGATCAAGCCGAGCCAAACTCGGTGGTTTAAGAACACTGCCCAAAGCCTGAGAAGAAAACATCAGGAATACAACCATATCCACATGAACGTGGCATTCATCCACATTCCACTCCCTGAGTATCGATCGTCAGGAAAGTACTTTAAGGGCGCATGGATGGAACCTCCCACTGCACCAGGGTTCAACTCTGGCTTCAAGGACGCCCTCGAAGAAGAGGGCGTCTTGTTTGTTAGTTGTGGACAGTAAGTCACATGTCCAATGTTCCTTTGTGTTGTTCTGAAGACTAACAGTTATCTAGTGATCATGTCAATGACTATTGCATGCTCGAGCAAGATGCCGATGAGAAGCCCTCTCTCTGGATGTGCTACGGCGGCGGTGTCGGACTCGGCGGATACGGTGGCTATGATGACTTCGTCCGACGAGTGCGTTTCTTCGACTTCGATAGAGGCCCTGGTCGTGTATCGACATACAAGCGTCTAGAATGGGGTCAAACCGAAGCCAAAATCGACGAAATGATGATCGTCGATGGTGGTGCCGTCAGCAGCCCAGACCAAGCATCCCAATGAAGCCTGACGTCTCTCCCTTTCTCTCTCCATCTTCCTTTCCATTCTTCTCCCCCCCATCTTGTATCGAGATGTCAGCATGTCTGTACTGCGTTTGCTCTCGCATACTGTCGTTGCCATTTTTGTCGGCGGCCATTCTCTTGTTTCCTGTACATATATCTTTTGCCCCTTGCCTGCATTAGGTCGGCGTCTGCGGGGAGTCTTATCTCTTTTCTGAAATATTGAGGCCATTTCTTTTAGCCTTATTTTACTCCAATTCGTGTAGACCTGTAATGTTGACGATTCATTCATCGACGAACGAACACTACAATTAATCTCACGTGAATATATTACATCGCTACTAATCCGACTCATTCTCACCACCATTTTTCAAAGAAAACTCGCTGCTCCCCGCCGTCCCCTAGCATACCAACCAACTTCTCCACAATGGCATCAGTCATACCGGGTGGTCCACAAACATAGCATACTGTACCCCGAGTATCCAACTCACCATTTGTACCTACAGCCGCAGAGCGCAGATCACGATCAGATATCCTCACTGGATGAATTTTAAGATCAGAAGGAGACCCAGATGAGAACAGATTAGGCGATGAGGCCAAGTCCGTGAGGAAAAGGTCCAACGAGATCTGGAGCCGATGGGAACTCTCTTGAGATCGGACTAGTTGGCGCAGACGTGAGAGAAATAGGATCTGGTCTAGTACTGCGTCTGCCGAGGCTTTCTCCTGGTCTTGCGGTAGGCGGCTGGAGTATAAGATGTGGATGGTTGTTGGGTTGGGGGTGTGCGGTTCGTTGTTGTTAAGGTGGGAGAGCATAGATACCAGAGGGCTAAGATTTTGTTAGAGTTCCTTCATGATTAAAACAAGTGAGGTCTGGTTTGTGCTGGTATATGTTTGTATACTCCGGAGATAAAACGGACATGGTGTTTGGGGAGTATCACTTACTTGATGCCAACACCACCCGCAACGAAGACCACATTCCTAACATCATTAATACTGACTCCAGTGGGAGGCCAGACAAAGCTTCCACCAACTCGGATGTTCAGCTCCTTGCCTAGGATCTCTTCTTTTGGTCTCCATAGCCATGCAGCGGATGGGTTACCTGGCGACTTTTGTACGGCCAGTTCCACATATGGTGGTCGCCCTTGAGATTCTGAAGATGGTTCTAGCGCCTCGCCAGCCAATGAGTCCATAGAAGACTCTGGTAACGGCAGCACTTGTGCATCTGCTGGGGTAGAAGTGATAGTGAAGCCGCCCGCTTGGGTGATTGAGGGGATATGGACATCAAGCCATTGGCCCGGGAGGAAGCTGAATGGTTGTTGATAGGTATCCTATAAACTGTGTTAGTACTAGTACTCTGTGGTGCTCCTTGGCTGAGAGTATGTGATAGAGAAGGTGCCTAAATGTGATTGGAACCAGCCGTGCGGGGCATAGATGGATAGGATCCAACGGCGCGGACAACCAACCCCGGGGGTTGGTAGTCGGGTTTGGTATATGAGTCGAAGATACAGGAGATAGGGGCATTCATAAAGAGAAAGATGAAAGAAAATAAACCCATACGTTATTCTCTTGAGGCAGAGCGAACTGTAGTAGCCGAACAGAAGGGTTGATCTGCTCGATGTGCGATAGTCGCACTGGATGTAGTCTATTTTGCCGGGGCTCTGCAGCTGTGCGCAGCTCATGAGGAATTGAATCCTCTCTTTGAGAAGTCATTTGGCCTGTGGTTCTTGAAATGGAGCGGAATCCAAGTTGAGGCCGGAGGATGCGGAGTGGACTTGAGCGAAGAGCAAGTGAACACAAAGACTGGAACTTCATTAAGATATATCAAACTACACGGGTGTGATATTAATTGGATTTGAATGAATTCCCTGAAATATGGCACGATTGTTGCCTTTGAATATGAGAACCTTGGAAGTCACAAGTCAGGATTCTGCCGACCACATGACTTCCTCTCTACAATTCATGAAAGCCATCCTCGAGTTCCTCGAGTTCCTTTAGAATCCGATAATCAGGGCTTATTGATGGCTATGGCTACCAACGAGAAACCTATTTGTTCCCATTTTCTTCCGGGGCTAACATGGATAGATGTACGGAGTACAGACCACTGCATAGTCACAGATGCGACTCGCATCACCCCACAGTAGCGCCAGGCGCTGTGCACTAAAAGATGCAAGTTCCCTTGGAATGCCAAGTTTTCAGTGATTCTGTGAGGGGAATTATGTGATGAGGGATCCATGCAGATCTGTCATCCTATCACACAGTCTAGCGTGTGACGAGCGGCGGTCTTCCACTGATCCCCATCGTCTCATTGGTGTGATGGCCCCGGGTTACTACTTGCGCTGGCGCTTTGTCGCCATCAAGCATTGGCCAGATGCACCTCCCAAATGCACACCAGTCCCTCTGCACGGTATTCGCATGCTGATTCGTGACCCCTCCTGCATACGATGGCTTGTGCCTTCGGCCACTGGTTGGTCTCGAGCTCATATCTAACGCTCGTCTTCCGGATCGCCCAAACTTGAGTTCTTCGACTTTTTCGATCTTGTCTGCCAACGCTGAAGCATTTGGTCCTTTACTTGCGATAGACTGGATGTCTACCTAAGCCAGCCGGTCTGGCTAAATCGCGTTGTACAGAGCTTTAATTCTCTCACAAGCGCTGCAGCTGAATTGCTAGCTTGGGGGAAATAGAGTCGACTTTTATTGCGGTTCCAAACCCGCACGAACGTTCTGATATCACCGCCAAAATGCAGTTCTTTTTTCCCAAGAAGCACAAGCACCACAAGATCGTCCTTTGGTTGATGGCCGGGGAGTTTCCGATCACCATCGTAATGCTGACCTTGACCGGTATCGCCTCCCACAATCTATACCGGACATTATTATGGCAAGATGGAGCAGACAATGGATTCAACAGTGCTCCGAACGAGGCACTATATGCAGCAGCAAACTACAGACCATTCAAACCCCCCATGGTTTGGTCCGGATTGTATGTTTCTCACTATACTCAATACCCGAGAGCTGGCCGCTGACCCTGGAAATAGCATGACCAATTACAACCTTGTCCTCGGTGTTTTGAGCACCTTCTTCCTCATCACAAAATTACCTACTCACTGGATGAACCTATTTTATCCTCCTGTTGCGGTCGCCGTCCACATGTCCCTGATCGTTCTGTATCTCGTGTCAGCGGTGTACCAGGCTGGGTCTGACATGTCAGACCCCAGGCATCCCCAGTCAGGAGCCCCTTGGTACATTGCGAAGAGTTGCAGCGTCGCATTTAGAAAGTCCAATATTGGGTACTGCATGCAAGCTAAAGCGCTCTTTGCTGTGACCGTCATCATGATGTTAGTTCCACCCTTTCCACTCTAATACTCTTTTACTCCTCTCATTCCGCGAAGAGAAAGTTAGCTAACAGTCCCTAAGTACCTACTATACAGTTATCCTCGGATTCAATATCCACTCCTGCTTCATCACCCCCGAAGAACGGGCAGAGATCCTGGAACAGAGAGAAGAGCGTCGTATCGAGAAGGAGTTCGAAGAAGAGATCATCAAGTCTCCCGGCATGATCCCCATGACCCCCGGCTCAATGCCTCGAGGACCAGTCATGGTTCCCCGCACCCCCGGGGTTCCGCCCATGGCCGTTGGCGGAAATATGTCACCCTTCACCCCCCGCACGCTGGCCTTCAACCGACTTGGCAATGGCAGTACCACCTCGGACCTCCCCCTGAGAGACAACTCCCACGTGCCTCATCCCCAATACACGTCCCTGCAATCGCAGGAAGTCAGCCCCCAGAGTTCGGTAACGTCGCCGATGTACTTCCCTCCGCCACCAAAGAAGGCTGCCAAGTCCTGAATGCATTCAGTGTTGAATTGTTTGTGAGAAATTGCTTTTGTGATACCACTTGTTGTTGCCCGTACCTCACCTTCATTATTTAATGGGCCAAGGATGGCGTTCAGATGGGCTAGTTCCATTCCTTTCGCCCTCTCTGTGGGCTTGCCTTTAGTTGGCCAAGTGCCCACGGTCCTCAGTTATCCCATCATCATCATCATCATCTTCGGCGTTGGACTTTTGATTTGCTCCGACTCTGTCAAAAATTATTTAATTCCCCATAATCAAGTTTTGAGTTACTAAAAACATATACATTCCGTATTACATTAGTGATGCCTGCAAAATAGAACACGGCAAATCCAAAAGAAAGACCAGCTATACATATTGAACCAAAGAGATCGATCTCACAGGACGTAACATCATCATCCATGCGATAGCGAGCACGGGGCTTGTCTGAGGATCACTGGAGCTCCAGCGCAATGGACAGTATGCTTGACCAGCAAGGCGCCCAAAGAAGTGAGGGGGTATCTTGACGCGAACATGCAAGACAATGGAGAGAAGACCTTGGAAGGTCACCCGACCGAAAAAAGCAAATAAACCAAGAACTGAAAACTAGGCTGATTCCTGGCGTTTCTTCTCCTTTTTAGACCAGCGCACTAAAAGATGGCACTTGGTTAGCTCGTTCCGTGCCAAGAGTAGATAGGTTACAAGCACGCTGGGAATATGTAGGTTGGAACAGGGATTGCAAGAAGCGGTGGACAAAACTTACAGCCACAAGCATTGCACAAGGTCTTAGGCCCATTAGGTCCCTTTCTCCATTCTGGTGAGTCTGCCGTTCCGCAGTCGCTACAGACATGCTGGGCCTTGAGCCTTTTACGGCGATCACCCTCCTGAGCGTTGCGCTCTTGGTCGGCAGCAGTGGTGATGTCGATGTTGCAATGTACAAGGCGGCCACGGCTGACACCCGTACTGAGGCCTTGTGATCTCTCGCCCTCTGCGTAATTAAGACCGGTAATGACCTCGATGCCGTCGATGTGGGAGTAAACTTCGGGGGCATTGGGCGGCTTTGGGTAATAGCTTGTCGATTGGCCCGTATCGGATTCATCTGAGTTCAGCCCCACGGTGTCCGTAGTATCAGGATCACTAGATAATTCCCCTGAACGAGTGGCTTGTTGGCCCTGGTTGTCGGTTACAGGGGGGCGAGTATCCGGGTCACGCATAGAATAGGGCAACCGAGTCGCGATCGCATCTTCATCTTCTTCTTGCTTCAATTTGGCAATCTGCTGGATCAAACGTGCGTTCTCAATCTTGTGTTCCAAAAAGGAGTCAAGGACCCGCGAGACCTTGTTGAGATACGGTCGGCACACAAGGAAAAAGCCGGTGCAGGGCCCGTTGACAGACATGGTTCTCCCTGCCTGATGTTCATCTTGGTTTGCAAGATGCGGGTGACCATAAGCCTCAATAAGACAATATGTGCTGTTGGCTTTTTGGAATCGTAAATGAGTCCGGAACGATTGGTTCGCGGCGACCGACTCGTCCAAGTCTCTCTGGAAGATTGGCTGGTCGTCCCCATGAATGTATTGTTCCAGAAGACTTCCCTCGAGTTGTTTCGCGACACGACCGGTGATGTTCTTGCATGACGGCGTGGCATAGATGATTCGGCCCTGGGGGGTGAGGAGAAGTAGCATGTCCTTCATTTCATCGAGAACTCGCTCTGTCCAGCCCGCATCGATTTGCACGTCCTGATATCCCCCGTGCTGAGCACCTTGCACGCCGTATTGTCTGCTGTAGGACCCATGAAGTTGCTGTTGCTCCATTGTGCACAACGGATGCCCCTCGTTGGAGCCCGATCTCATCTGAGTGGTGGGTAGAGGCATACCCTCGTAGGGTGGGCGACACATAGCCATATCGAGTGCGGTATGGAGATATCAACAGATTTAACTAGTGATATGCGTGAGTGCCTCCGAATGCGTCTCTCATAAAGAGTTAGGGAATTTCCCTAATAAACAATGTCCGCACGAGGGCACGGATATGGTAGAGCGGTTAAGGATAGAATGGTTCATTATCCAAATTCAAGGCCTGCAGTACAATCGATATATTTGGTCAGTAAGGGGTTGGACAATGTGTTTCTTAGAATATACACATCACCTGTCTGGATCTCGAAGATAGCCCTGGAGAGAACTAAACAAAAGCGGTCATTGCTCTTAATAAGCCATTAAACCTTGCGCTAAGCCTAATTTAGGTGTCCCAGGCTATACATAGAAAGTACTTTGTTTCCGCCTTTTTCTGCTGGTTATCAAACTGAAGGGGACATATCCTAAAGACATTAAAGACATCTATCTGTGGATATCCCTCTCTTTTCATTCTATTCCCATGGTTAGTTCTTTTTGCAATGGCTCCCCTGTGATTGGAATATCTAGCAACGACTAGTTTTGTTCATTCCTGACTTCCTTATTTTGTCCGCTGGGATGCCTTCCTGCATTACATGGATGGCGTACATAAATAAGTCCAATTCCATATTCTCTTCCAGATATCTTGACAAAGTCCATTTGCATGGACATATCATGTTCACAATTTTATTCAAGCATAACAAATCCCTTGATGCAACCCACTATATACTTCTAAGTTTAACCGACATGTGGTATACCTGCTGACCAGGTACTCAAAAAGGCGCCTGGTGGAAGGAAGGCCAACGAACGGAAAGCCTCGACTGTTATAAATAGCCTCGCAAAAACAAACACTAGAACAATCAACCTTGATGCTCCTTGAAGAACCGATTTTATACTCAATAACAGAGGTCTGTCAGTGTCAGACATCACCCTCAACTCGATGACTTTACCCCGTGTTCCACTGAGGGCCCATAATAATGGCGCAGTACCAGCCGTTATGATCGTACTAATGTGCCAACATAGTCTCTCTACCTCTGTAGGAAATGCGAAATTCCATGCAATGCAATGGATACCACCAAAGAGAGTCAGGGCAGGCGCGGATGCCAGATATATCATAAAATTACCATCTGACATATGTGTATCTCGGCTCAAGACATTGTTAGGAACCCATATACTCGCACGATCGAATGCAAACCCCGTCGGGCCAGCGTTTGCAATGAGGATCATGTCTTCCGCAGATGGGCGCTTAGCGGCTTTGATGGTGTGTGATGCCTGGACATCCTTTGGTTTATTAAGTAACAGGGAGTATGTGATTATTGAGCAGATTGCAAAGGATAGAGTGATAATCTCAAGTTGGCTCGAGGAGAGATTTAGAGCCAGGCGTACAATGAGCTGGATGACAATCCACGATATTTGACCCAACGTTAGGACCATGACGAATAAATTGCCCTTGTTGCGATCATCTAGGGAAGCCTGAGATAGCGAAGGTAGCGTTTCGATGATTCCAAGCTCACGTGCAAGGAGATGCTGGTTCGCATGCAGCACCCAGAGATCCCCACAAAGGTAACGAATGTTTTCAAACTAAGTGGTAGAGTTGAACAAGAATTTATTTCGTTCCCTGTCATCAATAAAATGGTCTGGAGAGACTATAAAATTGCCATTTTCATAGCTCGAATATTGTATTGGTCTGGTTTCCAGTTGATATCTCCTATTGCTTTGGATATCTTTTGTACCGATTCTTGGATGTGTTCTGGAGAATCAGTGCCTACTATCATCCAAAAATCAAAAAGCTGTCGCTGAATCCACGGCAATGGACGAAAGCCCTGCGGGGGGTAGTCGTAATTCAACGGAGAAAAAAGATTCATCTTGGAGAGAACTCTGGCTCGTTCAATGACGCGTCAAACCGAATAGAGAATCCACCCATATTCGCATAGTAGGTATAGGAGCGGCTCCATGGGACACTATCTTTCCTCTGGTACTCTTCAAATCGGTCCTTGAGCAGAGCCACTGAACGATGAGTGCTCCAAGCTTGTCCTAGTACCCACTCTGGTGCAGCAAGGTTGATAAACATCCATTTGAACTTTGTCCAGAATAAGAAGAGCTCACGTGTGTATTCTTGGCGTTTGCCGTTTGGAGTCGACTCGATTGGTACGTTGAGATGAATGACAGACCAGGTACAGAGGATAAGCACACTAATACAAGACCAGACAATGTCTAGGGTTCCGCGAGTGTTTGGGGAAGAAACAAAACCAACGCTCTCCGGTGGAAGATGCAGTTGCCCTTAAAAGTCTGTATTGTGAAGACAAGTGTAGAAGAAGTAGAAGGGCAGCTTGCCATCATGATAAAAGAGTGGCATATCTGAAATAGAACTGACTCAGCCACACCTAGCCCCCTTAATTCATACTATTCTTCCATGTTCCAAATTAATTATAGATCTATGTAGGTTTAAGAAGCTATCTGCAGCTATTCAGGTGATTCACATTTAATTGGCGCTCTGTTGACATGAACAGCCCTGGAGCACATCTCGCCTAAGAGCTACTCCGTACAGGGAAACTTAAGAAAAATAAGTATGGGCAAATCATATTCTTGTCTCCCGTGCATATCGTGTGCTGTAAAAAGCCTCCAAGGTTACCGATATAACCGCTCATAAATTAGGCCCATTTTTAGGGCTTGGCCTAGGTTTGGAACAAGACGGTAAATACACTGCACATAAAAGTGCAGGTGCCCGGGTGCATTTTATTGATTAGTCATATTTTCCATCAAATTGCCAGGTCATGTGGCCCAAAGCGATGAAGAAACCAAAGTAGCCGATCCCTGTGGGCCTCGAGCACTTTAGTACAATTCACGTGACTTCGTGTCGGTATTGACGCGGTACTATGTGACCGACGACAATCAACGATCAGAGCAACTTTCATTTCTTGATTCTCACTGTCTAGCTTCTATTCGATTGTATTTGATAAAGCTAACGGCCAACGGGCTCAAACGCCCATCTCGGAGCTTTTATTCAAAATGTACGTGCTGATCATTCCCCGCCTCGTGTCGCAATGCTAACTGGGTTTTAGGTGTAAGTGCAACAGCTCTATACCTCGGCGAGAAAAAGAAGATCCCAATGGTCATCTAACATACTATAGCGAAGATCGATAAGCTCTCTATTCTGGGGTACGTCTCTCGAAGTCTTTAATTCGTGTGCAACCACTGCGGAGAGTAATTACACTCATACTCATCAAACCGCGCTTGTTCTAGAGTCCGCTCCTTCGATAATACACGCAGCGAAACAATCCAGTTCCACACACCCCTTACATTGATTGTCGGATACAACGGCTCGGGAAAGACGGTACGAAATGGCGAAATGGGTTACTAGGAGTTGCGGCCAGCAAGGAACTGACGCGGATTTAGACTATCATCGAGTGCCTCAAATATGCCACCACAGGCGATCTCCCTCCGAACAGCAAAGGCGGTGCTTTTATCCACGACCCGAAACTATGTGGCGAAAAAGAGGTACTGGCCCAGGTGAAGCTGTCATTCAAGGCCACGTCTGGAGCGAAAATGGTTGCCACGCGCAGTCTGCAGCTTACGGTCAAGAAAACAACACGACAGCAGAAGACCCTAGAAGGCCAGCTCCTTATGGTCAAAAATGGCGAACGCACGGCTATTTCTTCGCGAGTGGCTGAGCTGGACCAAATCATGCCGCAGTATCTGGGTGTATCAAAGGCCGTGCTGGATTCGGTCATTTTCTGCCACCAAGACGAAAGTCTGTGGCCAATGAGTGAACCGTCTGTGCTGAAGAAAAGGTTTGACGAAATATTTGAGGCAATGAAGTACACCAAGGCCATTGACAATATCAAAGCACTGCGAAAGAAGCAGAATGAGGAGCTCGGCAAATTTAAGATCATGGAGCAACATGCGAAAGAAGACAAAGACAAGGCAGACCGTGCTGAAAAGCGATCCGTCAAGCTTCAAGATGAAATCGAGGCCTTGCGCGAAGAGACCCAGCGGATGTCGCAAGAGATGCGGCGCGTCGCGGAGCTTGCTGATAAGGCTTGGACACAATCAGAAAGCTATGCTCAGGTTCTCGGTGCCCTTGAGGGCAAGCGTATCGAAGCTAAAAGTATCCAAACCACAATTGACAACCTCAAGAGACATTTGGTCGAGCTTGATGACTCTGATGAATGGCTTGAATCTACCCTAGAGCAATTCGAAACGAAGCAAATCCAGTACCAGCAACAAGAGGAGTCACAAAAGGAAAACTATATGGAAATTAAGGAGCGGATCGAGCAGACCCGGCACCGCCTTGGTCTGAAACAAGCCGAGAATGGAAAGTTTGAGAACGACAAGGCCAATTTCGAGCGCCAGTCTCAAAGGCGCCAGAATATGATCAATGAAATTGCTCGCGCCAACAACATCCGAGGCCTTGACGAGAAAATGGATCAGTCTGAAATTGACACCTTCATGCAAAAGATCAAACGCCTCTTAAGGGAGCAGAATCAATCTCTGGATCGTGTGAGGCGTGAAGCCCAGAAAGAGCTTCGTGAGGTTCAAGAAAAATTGAATGATATTGGGCAAACTAAGTCCGCACTGCAAGAGACCAAGAACGCGGCAAAACGACAGATTGCTGCGAATGACAAGGAGGCAACAACCTATCAAAAGAGGCTGAATGAAATTGAGGTTGATGAGGGCTTCCAGGCTGCGCTTGAGTCAAAGGTCGAGGATATCACGTCAAACCTTGAGCACGCGAAAGAGCGGGCCAAAAGTGCTTCCTGGGACCAAGATATCCAGGATACGAATGCGGAAATCCGTCGCCTTGAGGATGAAAGCTCGAGATTGAACACCGAGCTCATTGATTCAACCAAGAAGGCCGGCGACCTGGCTCGCCTAGACCACCTCAAGAAAGAATCAAAGGACCGTGAGCGCAGTTTACAAACGATGAAAGGAGCTCATGGCGATCGCCTTCACAAGGTCGTTGGTGCAGACTGGAAGCCCGAGACACTGGAGCGAGGCTTCCAGCAAGCTCTCGATAGCGAATCAAAGCTGGTGACCGATGCAGAGCGAGAGCGCGATGGTGTGAGCCGAGAATTGGAGCATGTTGAGTTCAAGCTTAAGACAGCCAAAAAGAACCTCAAGCAACGTCAAAAGGAACTTGATGAATGCGTGAAGGATATCCATGAAGCAGTCGATGCAGAGCCTTCCGAATACCCTGAAATTGTGAAGGAGCGCCAGGCACAGTACGACCTCGCTCGCAAAGATGCTGATCAATATGCCGGAATGGGAGAGTATCTCACCAAATGTCTTGATGCTGCTAAGCGCACCAAGCTGTGCCGAACATGTCAAAGATCGTTCAAGAACGAGACGGAACTCCAGACCTTTACAAAAAAGCTGGATGCCTTGGTCAAGAAGGCTGGTCTTGATGCTGAAGACGAGACCCTGAAGGGCCTCGAAGAAGATCTCGAAACTGCTCGCGCCGCTAGTGCATCCTACGATACTTGGGTCCGTTTGTCAGAGACTGTCATTCCAGAGCTTGAACAAGAAGAGCAAGAATGTGAATCCCAGCGTGACCAGCTTCTGGAGAAGCTGGAAACTTGCGACGGAAAGGTCAGCGAGAAGACAGAATCCAAGCGTGACGTTGAGGGGCTTGCTAAAACAGTGAGCACTATTGTGCGTTACGATGTCGAGATTAAGACGATCAAATCACAAATTCAAGAGCTTTCTGCAAACCAGCAAGACGCTTCAACTACTCGTACCCTGGAAGACATCCAGGAGGAAATCGCCTCCATCAATGAAAAGTCACGGGAGTTGAAAAAGACTCTTACCAAAGTGACAAATGAGAAAGAAAAGACGCGTTCAGAGATCAACAAGCTCGAGCTTGAGTTCAGAGATGTGAAGAGCAACTTGGACAACGCCAAATTCCAGCTGGAAAAGAAAGCGGACCTGATCGTTCGGATGGAAGAATTTAAGAAGCTCAATAATCAGCAGCGGGATGCAATTGAGAAGGCAGATGGAGATATCGAAAGTCTAACGCCGGAATTGCTTCAGGCCCAAGCCCGTTATGATGATATCAGCCAGCGAGCCGACGGGCGTGAACGAGATCTGCAGCACGAGATTAGCCGCTTATCCGAGAACATCCATCAGCTTGACCTTGCCAATGATGACATCAACTCGTACAATCAACGAGGAGGTCCAGACCAGCTTACGCGAAGCAAGCAGGAGCTTCAAGAAATTGAAGCTGAAATTGGCAAACTCGAAGCTGATCAAAGCGAGATCACAAGGGAGATCAACAAGATCTCAAGCCAACTCAAGGACAGTGAAAACACAAAGCGGCAATACTCAGATAACTTGACATATCGCCAAGCCACTCGATCCCTCAACACAGTTGTTGAAGAAGTTGAGCAATTAGAAGCACAAAATGCCGAAGTGGACCGAGGCCGCTTCAAGCAAGAGTCAGAACGCTGGACTCGCGAACACAATGCCCTTGCTGCCAAACAGGCGAGCAAGATGGGCGAAATGAAGTCCAAAGACGATCAGCTGATGCAGCTCCTGGCGGACTGGAACACAGATTATAAGGATGCATCTTCAAAATACAAGGAATCTCACATCAAGGTCGAGACCACGAAAGCCGCTGTTGAAGATCTGGCTCGATACGGTGGCGCTCTTGACAAAGCAATCATGCAATACCACGGCCTAAAGATGGCAGAAATCAACGCCATCGCCGGCGAGCTGTGGCAGAAGACCTATCGTGGAACTGATGTCGACACAATCCTCATCCGGTCCGACAACGAGAACGCCAAGGGTAACCGATCGTACAACTATCGCGTCTGTATGGTCAAGTCAGGCGCCGAGATGGACATGCGAGGCCGCTGCAGTGCAGGCCAAAAGGTTCTGGCTAGTATCATCATTCGTCTTGCCCTTGCGGAATGTTTCGGTGTCAATTGCGGTCTCATTGCGCTTGACGAGCCCACTACGAACCTGGACCGAGACAATATTCGCTCTCTGGCGGAGTCGCTGCATGACATTATTCGCACTCGTCAGCAGCAGGCCAACTTCCAGTTGATTGTCATCACGCACGACGAAGAATTCCTGCGTCATATGAAATGTGGTGACTTCAGTGACTATTACTACCGTGTTTCGCGCAACGAGAGACAGAAATCAATCATTGAGCGGCAGTCAATCGCCGAGGTACGTCTTTAACTTGATTTA